AGCAGGATGATATATAGAGCCTGATGTACTCCTTTCCCAATTTGAAAGCAGTCTGTTGTTCCATGTTCAGTTCTGTTACTTTTTGACCTGCATACAGATTTCTTGGGTGGCAGGTCAGGTGGTCTGGTATTCCTATCTCTTGAAGAATTTTCAGTTTATTGTGATCTCTGCAGTCAAAGGCTTTAGCATAGTCCAACACAGATGTTCTGGAATTCTCTTTTTCTATGACCAGTGGATGTTGGCAGTTTGATCTGTGGTTCCTCTAGCTTTTCTAAATCCAGTTTGTACATCTGGAAGTTCTTCATTCACATACTGTTGAAGCCTAGCTTGAAGGATTTTGAGCATTACTTTGCTAGCATGTGAAATGAGTGCAATTGTGTGGTATTTTGAACATTCTTTGGCATTGTACTTCTCTGGAATTGGAATGAAAACTGACCTTTTCCAGTCCTATGGCCACTGCTGAGTTTTCCAAATTTGCTGGCATATTGCATGCAGCAGTTCTGCAGCATCATCTTTTAGGATTTGAAATAGCTCAAACTGGAATTCCATCACCTCCACTAGCTTTGTTCGTAGTGATGCTTCCTAAGGCCCACTTGACTTCACACTTCAGGATGTCTGGCTCTAGGTGAGTGATCACATCATCATGGTTTTCTGGGTCATGAAGATCTTTTTTGTCTAGTTCTTCTGTGTAGTCTTGCCACCTCTTAATATCTTCTTTTTCTGTTAGGCTTATACTGTTTCTGTTCTTTATTGTGCCCATCTTTGCATGATGTGTTCCCTTGGTATCTCTTAATATTCTTGAAGAGATCTCTAGTCTTTCGTATTCTGTTGTTTTCCTCTATTTCTTTGCATTGTTCACTTAAAAAGACTTTCTTATCTCTGCTTGCTAGTCTCTGGAACTCTGCATTCAGATGGATAGATCTTTCCTTTTTCTCCTTTGCCTTTCAATTCTCTTCTTTTCTCAGCTATTTGTAAGGCCTCCTCAGACAACCATTTTGCCTTTTTGCATCTCTTTCTTGGGGATGGTTTTGATCACCACGTCCTGTGCAGTGTTAGGAACATTCGTCTATAGTTCTTTGGGCACTCTGTCAGATCTAATCCCTTGAATCTATTTGTCACTTCCACTGTATAATCATAATGGATTTGATTTAGATCATACCTGAATAGCCTAGTGGTTTTCCCTACATTCTTCAATTTAATCTGAATTTTGCAATAAGGAGTTCACGACCTGAGCCACAGTCAGCTCCTGGTCTTATTTTTGCTGACTGTATAGAGCTTCTCCATCTGTACAGTCTCCCATCTGTATGGCTGCAAAGAATATAATCAGTCAGATTTCAGTATTGACCATCTGGTCACATCCATGTGTAGAGTTGTCTCTTGTGTTGTTGGAAGAGGGTGTTTGTTGTGACCAGTGCATTCTCTTGGCAAAACTCAGTTAGCTTTTCCCCTGCTTCATTTTGTACTCCAAACTTGCCCATTACTCCAGGTATCTCTTGATTGCCTACTTTTGCATTCCAATCCCCTGTGATGAAAAGGACATCTTTTTTTGGTGTTAGTTCTAGAAGGTCTTGTAGGTCATAAAACCATTTGACTTCAGCTTCTTTGTCGTTAGTGTTTGGGGCCTAGACTTGAATTATGTGATATTGAATGATTTGCCTTGGAAATGAACAGAGATCATTCTGTCATTTTTGAGTTTGCACCCAAGTACTGCATTTTGGACTCTGTTGTTGACTACAAGGACTAGTCCATTTCTTCTAAGAGATTCTTGCCTACAATCATAGATATGATGGTCATGTGAATTAAATTCACTCATTCCTGTCCATTTTAGTTCAGTGATTGCTGAAATGCTGATGGTTCACTCTTGCCATCTCCTTTTTGACCACTTCCATTTGCCTTGTTTCGTGGACGTAACCCTGCAGGTTCTATACAGTACTGTTCTTGCCAGCATCAGACTTGGCTTTCACCACCAGACACATCCTCAGCTGGGCATTGTTTCCCCTTTGGCTCAGCATCTTTGTTCCTTCCGGAGTTGGAGAGTCAGACACAACTTAGCAACTAGACAGCAATGTTCTGTTCTATATTTGTACCACATCTTTATCTATGGATGGACATTTAGGTGGCTTCCAGGTCTTTAGGTATTGTAAATAGCGCTACAGTGAGCACTGGGTTGTGGATGGTACCCAAATAGTAGGATTGCTGGTAGTTCTGGTTTTAACTTTTTAAGGAATCTCCATACTGTTCTCCACAGTGGCTGTATGAATTTACATTCCCACCAATACTGAAAGAGGGTTCCCTTTTCTCCGTATCCTTTGCAGCACTTAGAGATTTGTAGATTTTTAATTTTGAAGTAGTTTATTTGTTTAATTTTATTTTCAGTTGCTATGAGTCTTTGTTGCTGCGAGTGGTCTTTCTCCCATTGCAGTGAGCAGGGGCTGCTCTTCAGGTACAGGGGCTTCTCACTGCGCTGGCCTCTCTCGCCGTGGATCATAGCTTCTGGGTCCACAGGCTCCGTTAGTTGCAGAACTCTGGCAGAGTAGTTGTGGCACATGGCCTTAGTTGCTCCAAGGCATGTGGGATCCAAAGCTATGTACTCTGCGTTGGGAGGGGAGTTCTTAGCCACTGTATCACCGTGGAAGTCCAGGTTTGTAGATTTTTTGACGGTATCTCATGGTAGTTTGGCTTGCATTTCTCTAATAATAAGCAGTGGTGAGCATCTTTTCATGTCCATTGGCCATCCATACATCTTCTTTGGAAAAATTTCTGTTTAGGCTTTGTGCCCATTTTTTGATTGGGTTATTATTATTATTATTATTTTTGATATAGAGCTGAATGAACTGCTTCTGTATTTTGGAGATTAATCCTTTGTCTGTTCCTTCATTTGCAAGTATTTTTTCCCATTGTGAGGGTTGTCTTTTCATCTTGTTGAGGGTTTCCTTTGCTATGCAAAAGCTTTTAAGTTTAAATAGGTCCCATTTGTTAGTTGTGGTATATTTGATCACCTATGAAAATGTCACATCACCATTGACAGAATATTATATATACCATTCTAACCATTGTAATTAATCTATTCAAGAGGTCTTATTTCTAATATTCTTTGTCCTTATTGTGGTACTTGCCATTATGCTAGAAGCCACAAGCAGTTCAGTAAGGCAAGAAAAATAAAAGGCAGTAATTAAGAAAGAACTGTCAAAACTCAGTAATTACAAAACAGACAACCCAATAAAAATGTGTAAAACATTTGAACAGACACTTCATAAAGAAGATATTTTATGGATGGTTAAAAAAAAAAAAAGTACATGAAAAGGAACTCAGCATTAGGGAAATACATATTGAAACCACAATGAAATACTACTGCACATGAATTAAAATGGTAAAATATTAAAAATACTGACAGTACCAGATATTGGAAAAGATGTAAAGAAACTGGTCTAAATGTAAAATGGTACAACAGTTTCTGAAAACAATTAGATAGTTTCTTAAAAAATATACCTACATATGTCTGCCATGTAGTTCAGTTATTTCACTCCTGGATATTTTTCCAAGAGAAATGAAGGCATGTGTACATATGAAGTCATAAATATAAATGTTCATAACAGTTTTATTAGTAGTAGCCCCAAACTGGAAAAATCATAAAGGTCCATCAACAGGCAGATACATAGACAAATCATGATACATCTATACAATGGACTATTATTTAACCAATAAAAAGGAACAAATGATTGATATCCACATTATCATGAGCAAATTGTACAAAAAATCTGAAGGAAAGAATTTGAGTTAAAAAGTTAATATATAATTACATTTATATAAAATTCCAGGAAAGGCAAACTAATATACAGGGATCGATCAGATTGTTTAAGGTTTGGTCAGGAAGGGCAGGAAAGGGGGATGACAAAGGGACAACAAAACTTTTTGGGGTGATGGATATGTTCATTATCTAATCATGGCGATGGTTTCGTATATATGTGTATCAGAAGTTACTGTATCACCTACTTTAAATACATGTAGTTTACTGGGTATCATTTATACCTCAAGAAAGCTAAAAACAAATAGTGTAGGCTCTGCTGTTAGCCTGGATGAAATGAGGACTGTGGGTGTTTTGGGTTTTTTTGTACATTTGTTTGTTTTGTTTTGTTTTTTAATATTTATTTATATGTATTGGGTCTTTGTTTTGTCATGTGGAGATCTTTCCCATGGATTGTCTAGTCGTGGCATGCGGGATTAGATACTCTGTGGGGCAGGTAGGATCTTAGTTCTCTGACTAAGGATCAAACCCACGTCCCCTGCAGCGCAAAGCAGATTGTTAACCATTGGATCACCAGGGACGTCTTGGGTTTTGATATGTGTTCAGAGGCTGAACCAGGGCCTGACTCAGAGCTCTTCACCATTTGAAATGACTGTATCTCATTTTCTAGTGTATCGTAAACTCTCAGCAAGCAAGGCACCACACCCATGCCATCATCTTGTCTAGTTTGAAACTCAGCATGAGTTTTATGTTACACATATTACACAGAGCAGTGTGAAAACATTTTGAGGGACTTTACATTGTTTAGTAGTAGAATCAGCGTCCTTCAAACATGTACAGCATGGATAAAGATTGAAAACAGAACTGTGGAATTTGGTATACACTGCTTTGGAATAATTTGTGTATTATGGTATTTACATGTTTAGAATTATACAGGAAATATTTTAAATGTTACATTGTCTTAAAGATGTCTTTATTTTTATACCTATATATAAATGTGTTTATATGTGTATGTGTATGACACGTATTCCCGGAAAATGGTTTCCTTTGGGCATGCTAATGTCCCTGTCCCCCTGGTTTCTTTGACTTATTTTAGAAGGTCGTTAAGTCCTTGGGAAAATCACTTATGTCATCAGTGAGGAATGCCACCAAAATAGCTTCTCACTTAAGTTCCCATCCCCAGAGCTAACCCACAGGAGGTTCTGATAAATTCAAATATTTAATAACTTGTATTTTTCTTTCTCCTTTACCACAGGCCCTCTGGTCCTGGCGGCAAGATCATGTGGTGAATTCTTGGCAGTCAGCAGTCTGTGGAGCTTTTGCAGGTGCAAAGGATTATATTATACTGGGAAAGACCAAGGAGGGGGAGAAAAATGTGAAAATATTAACTATGCAAAAACAACATTCTTCAGAAATTCCAGATTGTTTAGAAGAAGAGAGTTCCACTAGTTTGAGAAAAGAGTGTCTGGGTGGGTGTTGTGGGGGGGACTCCTGCTAAAAAGGTGTCTGCCTGAAAGACAGCCAATTTGTTTTTGACAAATTTTTCATTTTCTTTTTATTAAAGCCTTCACTCAGGCCCTTGGATTATCTTGAAGATGATTTAGCAAGGCCTGTCTGCGAAGAGCCTAGCTGTGGGTGCAGGGCTTCCAGTGCAGCTGTCTGCCTCGAGCACTTCTTGGGGGGTTTCAGCAAATTCTGCAGGAGGCAGTGATTCACGGTCCGTGTGACATGTTTGACAGCCTTGTAGATTAACTATTGTCAGGACGGCAGAGGCTGCTCCACAACTTACCGAAGGCTAAACTGCACGGTGTAGAAAATACGGAGGTCTAAACATCTGGGCGTCTTTCTAGATATTAAACAAAGAGCAGAGTGACAATATGCACTGTCATGCTATCTATCACTTGATCATACGCATTTCCAGTGAGGTTTTAGGGAGAACGCAGAAACTGGAAAGAATTTAGTAAGTGAGAGGTTTAACAGTCTGAGAGAGAAAGGCATTTTGTTGTTGGAAATAAAGGTAAGTGAGAATTACAGTTGAAATAAATTGAAACGGAGATTTGCCAGAAAACTATAAACTGCTGGTTTTGATGCAGACCCCATAAAGTGACAGATACATGGGCTTAGGATACCAGCTTTAGTGGAAAAAAAAAAAATTCATTTCCAATTTGTTTTAATGGTTGTCGGATGGGCTTTTTGTTATAGTGATCAGGAAAACAGAAAACATACATTTTAATAGGATCCTGTAGTAATAATTGGACCCTTCTGACTTGTAGAATTGATAATCCAAAATAAGACTATTGCCTGTAGATACGAAGCCAGCTCGGATTGATTATGACGGGTGATTGTTTCCACATGATCCATGTCCTCAGCTGTGTTAAGTGGGTAGGTGGTCTTGATTCATTTGCCAGTGGTCAGGAGTCCTTATTCCCTGGTACCTATGAGGTTCTGTCTGTGGACCCCCTCTGGGGCCTGGGGGCAAAGTGAGCATTCTGGAAATTGAGTCATACTGGATAAGGAAGGCCACTTCTTAAAATGAACATAGTATAAAATGTCCATGTGTTAAAACAAATATATATTTTTTTCTGGTCTCTTTCTTTAAGGAGCTGATTCAAAGATATACTTGCAAATATATCCTTCCTCTTAAGGACATGTGTGTTCATTACAGCTCCTTTTTGTGAGAAGCATTGATGATAGACAGTAAGCATTTAGTTTAGTCAGAGGTGGCAGAAGGGGGAGAAACTTGGTATCAGTGATCTCGGGGGTCTCGGCTGGCAGCTACTTGAAGCAGGGCTTTGGTCCCGGCCAGAGATTGAGGACGGGTCATGGCGGAGAGAGCACTAAATCTTAGCCAGTAGACAGTGGTCAATGACAAGACCCTGGCTTTTCAACTTTGCAGGAAAAAAATTCCCACAGAGATGGGAAGTGAAGTTTTTATTAGGTGGAAAAAGAGTACAGTACGTGTGGACAGAAACCCCCACAGGCAAACTTAGGGAGTCCCTGAGTTGTGCCCTCGGGGCAGTGTGAGTTACTATAATGAGGCATCTCTTCCAGCTTTCCTTTGGCTAGTCATTACGGTTCGCCCGGTTCATAGCCCATATTTGGTGTATCTCAGGATTCTTCTGTGTGTGCGCACATGTCTGTTAGCCAAGATGGATTCTACTGCAGAGGTTTATGCGTGGAGTATCTCTTAATGTCACTCCCCTTTGATTGCCAAGACCTTTTCTGCGCATGTGTGGTTGGGGAGGTCGCCTGACTTGGAGAATGAGAAATCTGTGATTTGGGCTGGGCTCAGCCTCCCATCCTGCTGCTGTCACCCTGGAGTTTCAGTCCACAGAGAGTGAGTCTCCAGTCACTTGACCCTGGGTCGGGGAGACGTGGGCTGTCTGCTTCCTGCATCACCAGTATCCACTGTCTGGGTCAGTGGGGAAGCTGGGATCGGCGCAGCCAGTGGATTCGCCCAGAGCTGCAGCCTCCAGTGCTGGCTGACCTGTCCGAGTCACAGAGCTGTCAGACCTCTGTTCTGTCCGCAGCTGAGGAAGGAGACTCCGGGGCCTTGCTAGGCACCAGTTTACTTACCTGTGACCTAGAAGCACCTGTCCCTCCGTGAAGAGGTTGTTTCTGGGATAGGTGACAGTGTGTGTTGTTGTTGTTTAGTCCCTAGGTTGTGTCTGACTCTTTTGTGACCCCATAGACTGTATAGCCCGCCAGGCTCCTCTGTCCATGGGATTCTCCAGGCAAGAACACTCCCTTCTCTAGGGGAGCCTCCTGGCCGAGGGATTGAACATGCATCTCCTGCATTACCACTCAGCTACCTGGGAAGCCCCTGCATAGCGTGTTAGTGTTCGGTAGTCTGTAGAACTACATTTAAGGAATCACTACTATTGCAGTAAAAACAGCTAACACCCAGGAAATGAAAAGCTGTCATCATCATAGTAATTCTTAACTGCACGGGGGGAAAAAGCACATTAATAAATCTAGTATACCTAATCATTGCCGCTACTCGGGTATAGATTTAAAAGCTCCTCCAAGACAATTATTTTTTCAGCTGACGTCTGATAGGAATTTGCCCAAGGTCTGCAGAAAATTGTCAGTAGATGTACATGTCTTTAACAGAAGACAAAATTAAATAGGTTTCTTGTTTACATTCCTTGTTTTGAAATTTTAGTTGGTACCAATATTGACCCTGAGGAATAAGGTTACTGTTTAAAAACTTTTCTAAAAGATAAGCATAATTGGAAAATACTTCACATTGTGGAAAAGTGATATTCTGTAAGAATTTGCTGCAAGATTGTGTACTACGCAGTATAGAGACATGAGTCCCGACTTGTCACATTGGGCAGCCCATAAGTTCTGGCACGGTTACCCGCTGCACTTTTCAGATGTTTTCGCCTTAGATGGCCATAAAGGCAATGATAAAACTTGCACTTAAACCAGAAATCTTATTTCTCATCCCTGTGTGCTTTTCCGAGTTTAAGCTGATTAAATTGTCATAGACAAAGCTCTCTCTGGTCATCCTTGGGCTGTTTGGTGCCCATGCTTGCTTTATGAACCACTTGGCACAAATATCCAAAAATGTCCCTTGAGATTGGAGGTGTTGATGGCTTGTCATGCTTAGAAATTCCCTTGGCCTCTGGTCAGGGGTTAAATTAGGGGGAAAAAAATGATCTTTGGAACTGTTGCCAGCTTCCTCACTTCAAGTTAACTCCTAAACATAAAACCACCATCCAGTCTGTACAATTATGACATCTGCTGTATGGTGATATTTACTGTTCTGATGTTCTCTGATTCATTTCCTGTAATGAACACTTACACTCTCTGGGAGAAGGAAGGAAAGCCATGGCTTGAAATTCTATAACAGGGTGAAGGATTATCTGGGTAACAAATGACAGGCCCGATACAGTCTGAAAGAAATGGAAACACGTTTGTTGCCATTGTTGTTGTTGAAGCCCCATTTGTTCGGGGCTCTCCGCTGGAGCAGCTCTTCTTGCTCCCAGCTAGTGAGTGGGGGGCAGTGCGTGGCAGCCCCCCACCGCTGTGCCCCGCCTCCACACTCCCAGCAGATGTTGGAGGTGACAGCTCCAGACTTACTGTAGGCAGGTGGCCCCTTTGTCTGGAGGGGAGAGAACCCTGAGGACACGTGAGATGCTGTTTCACTGTAAAAATCTAATTTCCCCTGAATCTGGTTCTTGGAAGCAGTTAGCCTAACATTAAGGACAAACCTGTCTCTAGTGGAACACATAGAAAATTGTTTCACATGTGATTTGAATACTAACATAGCCTGCAGTTGCTATACCAAATAATTATTTCCTGTCTAATACGTTAGCATGTTCCTTGTATTTATTACCAGAGGTTTACAGTTCCCTTAAGTAAAATGTAGAAAATAACTGCATTTTAACTGAAAATACAGCTCCCCTGCTCCCTCCCCATTATGACCGGTTATTCTATTACATGATCTTCACAAGTCCTTCTTACAGCCTCATAAAAAAAACACTGTGAGGTCTGTGAATTAAAGCAGTCTTTGATATTTGAAGACATTTAAATTGACATTAATAACTTTCATAAAATAAAGTTTCCTTCATGGTAGTAAAATTAGGACCTATTTCAGCATATGTTTTTGTCTCACTTTTCTTTATATTACTTTCAGGAAACAAATCACTGGAAGAATATTGGCAGGCACCTATAGTAAAGGAATGATGAACTTCGCTAATGGCCAAAATAAGTTCAATTTACAGTATCCAAATTTAGTAGAAGACAAATACTTTTCAACATGGGTGATTCGTGAGAGCTTGAGTGGTCAGACAGAGGACTGATGATGTCCTTGTCAATTTTTAAGCCTTTTTAGTTGGTTTAGGTCAGTTTGAAACATTTTCAAACAGGAAAATGGTTATGCACCTAGGAATTTAAAACAACTGGACAAATTTGTGTTTGTCTTATATCAAAGTCATTGTGTAATGAAACAGTACTACTATTTGAGCCAAGATACATGTGACTTCGAGTATCAAAGGCAGAGTAAATGGTTAAGTGATTTAAAAAAGAGAATAGTGTTTGAGGATTGAGTCCACAGAATTTTAAAAATACTTGCAGTTTAGCAGGTTTCTGAATTTCAGGCAACTTTTGAATTGGGAGGAAGACATTTCACATTCATAACTCAGAGGTGGCTAAAATAAAAGGCAACTTAGTATGCATGTTTCTGGTTTTACTCTTTAGCCCTAAATTTGTGCCCTTCTGAGTATATCTTTCAAGAAGTCAGCATCATAATAAATAACATAATGTTACCAAATGGAGGCGGTTCAGTTTAATGATCTTATTTCAGCAACATATTTAGAAAGATATTTGGCAGAGATCAGATGACCTCCTTGTCCACACAACCCAGAACTTAGAGGGAGAGGCTGCTATTTGTGGAGCATCCTTCACACATGTGTTGTGTTCAGCTCTTAGAAAACTGTCCAATTTCACTGTGGTCATGGAAGCTGAATCTTTAGAAATCCCTTTTGGGCTTACTGTTTCAGTCTTTTTTGGGACTTTGGGGATCTGCAATATCTCTTTGTAGCATATTGAATAAAATATTGATACCAGATACCATTTCTATTAAAAGAAAAAAGAAAAAGTCTTCCACTTCCTCTGTGTGTACATACAGACCCCTTTAAAATATGTAGATTTTTTTAAAAATCCATTTGGCAGTCACAGAATTTAAATAAAGAGGACAGAGCCGTAAGGAAGAACTCGGGCTTGAATCAAGACTGACTCTAACAAGAAATGAGTTTAGAAATCTTGTGACTCTAGCTGTCCTGTTGATCAGAAGTCTGGAAATACAGAAAAATGTCCTCTCTTAACCGTTAAAAACCCAGCCATGTATACCAAAAGTTCCCACAGCAATACACATGTTTCTCTTTGCCAGTTTTGCCTAAGAGCAGAAACCATAGCAGCGTTTTGGAGTCAGATTAGAGAACATAGGCCCGTGAAAGGCATAGACTGCCTGAGACTCATGGGGTGCCGCAGTGCCTCTCAGACAGGGGCGGGGGCTGACCACAGATACCCCACATACACCCAAAGGTTTGTGCGCTGCTTCACAAGAGAGCAGGATACGTTGTGGGGCCTTTTTTAAAAAAACTTGAGTGTATAAAACGTTGTCCCGTCACCTCTGTGATAGCAGCAGAGCGTGTGGGTAAAGACGTTGCATGTGTGCGTCCTGTTCTTGAATCAGTCAAGTGGATGTAACGATAAAGAAGTATCTTTGGCAGAGTTGCGAGGAATTCTGGAATAAAAATTATAAAATGCCATGCAGCGTGGTAAATAGTGCCTCGCTTGTGTGTGTTTATGTGCACAGGTGGCTTTGCAGCTGCAGTCACCACGCCTCTGGACGTGGCCAAAACAAGAATCATGTTGGCAAAGGTAAGTGGTAAAATAAGGTATCGGACACAACAGACCCTTGTCTCCATTAGGGCCAGGGCTTATATGTATATAAGTGAACAAAGGTGGCGTGATACCTGTGTGTCAGCAGCCTTACGCTGCCTGTTGAGTCACGAATGGAACTGCCTTTGCACAAAGCACTGTCACAGGAATCGCTGTGACGGCTGTCTTTTTGACATGATTTTCCTCCATCTTACGTGAACAGGTGGGGCTGGTAGGGCCTCTGGCTGGCAATACTGTTTTCAGAAACTCCTTGTTTTTACTGGTGACGGTCCTGAGGCTCAGAGAGCTGGCCTGCTTCACGCCAGGCAGCAAGTCTGAAGTTCTGAACTCAGATCATGCTTATTAAGCTTTCACCAGATGAACTAGGACAGTTTTCAGAACTGTCAACAAATGACATGAAGAAAAATTATCTTTAAAAAAACTGCATCAAGACTTCAGAGAAGTCCACAGAACATATCTGAACCAAAACGGTGACTCTGAAAGGTCATGCCCTTGTGGAAAAGTGGAATAAAGACAGAATTGTAGTATGAAGCTTCATAGGGCAAAGCCAGTTTTAAATGGAACGTAATGTTCTTTATCAAATGTGTGCATTAGCCACTTAGAGAAGTTTCATAATACCATTATACTGATTACCCTCCATCCTTCTCAGATCAATTATACCACTCCCCATCTTTTTCCTGGTTAGTAGCAGTCTGTGAATTGTCCGGGGAAGCTCTGCTTATCGGTTGATGGTGAGAGAACTCACCTAGAAAAGCTGCTTCGGGTGGGATTTGGGCCAGATCAGTGCTTGCTGGCAGCTTCGGGTGTGAGGGCTGCTAGTCCAGGGAGAGCCCGGGAGCTGATTCCCTAGGGCCTCCCCAGCCTGCCTGAAACTGTCCCAGGTGAGGGTGTTGGGGGCCAGCGGTAAGTGGCTTGGGGAATTTTTTGAGATGATGTCTTCGCTCTGTCTTTCCTTGCAGGCTGGTTCCAGCACCGCAAGTGGGAACATCCTCTCTGCCCTGCACGCGGTTTGGCGGACACAGGGGCTGTCGGGGTAAGGCCGGGGGGAGGCCTCTCCACCCTCCTCCTCCTCTAGCCGTGTCGGGCATACCCACCCTTCTTCTTCCGCTCGTCCTGATCGTGGAAGACGTTATGTCTGATGTTATGTGTGTGAGGTGCTGCTTACACAGTCGAGCTGACGCAGTGCTGTAGCCGGTGGGTCCCATCCCGATGTCAGGTGATGTCCGTGTGTGTGGCCCCTGCTGGGTTCTGGGCTCCAGCAGTGAGAAAGCCAGTGTCCGCTTGTGTAAGGCAGGACCCGAGTGACGAAGGTAGCGTTGTTAGAAGACAGCATTTGTGGTTTGGGACACTTCTACCTATCTTAGTTATCACCTTCAATATAGCACAGTGCGTGACACCTTGAAGCCCACAGCTTTGTATCGTCAGCCAAGTGCTTCATACTCTAGCGTAGTGTCCCGCAAAGCTCTCTTTAAAATATTATTTGAGTACTACTGCTTTTACAACATGTAAACCTGTTCAAGCGCTTCCCCGGTGGCTCAGCAGTAAAGAATCTGCCTGCAGTGCAGGAGACACGGGCTTGATCCCTGAGTTAGGAAGATCCTCTGGAGAAGGAAATGGCTGCTCACTCCAGTATTCTTGCCTGGGAAGTCCATGCACAGAGGAGGCTGGCAGGCTACAGTCCATGGGACACAGCTAAGTGACTAAGCACCAAAGCCATCTAAAGGTTGGGATCTGTGCAGATGGGTGAAATCATGATTCTCTCTGGCATCATCTCCAGGGATTTTCCTGAGAGCCCAGCCTCCTTTCAGGGAAGGTTGAGGGAGCCTGGGGACAAGGCTGGTATGACACAGCCCAGCCACAGTAGTGCCCCCTCCTCGTCCCAGAGCCACGTCCATCAGTTACGTGACTAGTTTGTGTCCATTTGGCAGGTTTTATTGCAGCTCGTTGACAGTCTGGAGAACCTGGTGCAGGTTAGCCAGGCCCAGGCAAGGGTATTTTGCAGAACAGCCCCATCCTCTATTCAAAACAGCTAATGGTGTGTAGCTTCATTGACTGTGCCGCCTCCCAGCGGATGCCGCGTGCCTGTAGGGCACGGGGTATGGAGACTGGGGCTGGGTTCACCAGAGGAGTGGTGAGCCTGGGAGGGCAGGGTGGTAGCTCGCCTGTTCTGAGTCAGTGACGCACGGCTAATCGATGGTGAGGAAGTAGGAATCTGGTTGCTCATAGTTGAGACACTTCGATTTTGATGTCAGTTCCTCTTGAAGAAAGAAATGGTGTGAGGGGGGAGAAAAAGAGCTATGAAGTAGCCCAGAAAAGGTTCTTAGGGCTTCAAATAATGACTGGGCCACACAGAGGTGTTGCCTGCAGTAGCTTTTTTAGGTCATCCTGTCAGACTGCCAAATTTTACTCATTTGTTTTAATATCATTCTTAAAGAGGCTCTGGCAACTATTGGTCAAACCTCTGCCCTAGACCTTAGCCCTATGGAGTCTGAGTGGGGCTGTAGCCTGCCTGCCTTTTCCAGGAAGGTGGTGATGTGTGTGGGGGTGGCCTTGTTGGCAGGACCGTGGAACCAGAAGCTCTCGGAGGTGGGATTTCCCCGAGGTGATCAAAACTTAACCTCGCCTGTCCCGGCGGTGTCACTGGGTGCTGCCTCATGGGGCCATGCCAGAATCACAGGCAGAGACAGGGCATCATCCTCATGTCGAGGGCCTGTCCCTGCCCCTGCTGTCAGACATGTGAAGGGATCTCACCTTCCAGAAGCTTCTTGAGTCTTGGGCTCCCATTGGCATGCCCAGTGCGGTCCTTAGCTGAGTGTTCATTAGCTTCTCATTAATGTGATAGGAGACAAATAATTGGACAAGGGAACTGTAACCAAAGGCAAAGAGACAAAGGCCCTGCCAACGCAGGCAGCTGTTCTGAGCAGTGAGCCTAGGCTTCTGCTGCTTCCTCTGTCCTCGACGCAGAGGCCCCGGGGGCTCCTGGTGGTCCTGGAACATGCCTGCCGGCTTTGCAGAGGGTTCCAGCTACCTCGCAGGTACAGCCTAGCGTCTCGTGTACACGTGCACACCCCCCACAGCCCAAGCCCCGCTCGGGGCTGGTGCTGAACTCCTGGCATCCGTTAAAGCAGTGACGCGCTTGGGTCACTCGGGGGAGGGCGGGGGAAACCATGTTCTGGCACAGGTTTGGGAGATGTGCCCTTGGGCAAATTGGTTTCTCAAATAAAAATACCACACGCTCATGCAGCCCAGTGGGCCGAAAGCAGACGGGAGCCTGTTTATCCTGCTCCGTCCTCCCGCTCGCCTCCTGGCCTTCTGCTTTCCTCTCCTGCGCCCTCCCGCGCGCGCCGCCGCTGCCCCTCGGCCCTCGCGTGGCGCCCCGTGTCGTGTCTCCCGCGGGCTCCCTCCGGTGAGGCTCCGCTCTGGTCCAGCTTGTGTCTGAGTCTGGTTGGGGCGCTCACTGGACAGATTACTCCACCTTAAAGCTGTAATGATGTTAACAGACTCAGTTGTCATCTAGTGAAGCCATAAACTGCTTCCGTCTGCCCCTAGCGTGGAGCAGCTGAGCTCATTAGCGGGAGCGGAATGAGACACTGGCTGTGGAAACAGGGCAGGGCGGAAGGATTCTGTGGCAAATGTGGTTTCCACAGCTCGGCCCCTGCCGACCGCCCGGCCAGCTCGGCTCTTCGTAGGGTGGGGGATGGCAGGTGACGCTGTTCTCCAGGTCAGAAGGGCAGAGGGGCCTGAACGCAGAGGTTTAGGGACACCTCATATAGAAACAATTCACACGGTGCTGGGCTGAACAGCTTTTTCCTCACAAATGTGTTTTCACCGTCTGTAGAATTTTCATGTGGACAAGAAAAAGGTTCTCATTTTGGGTATCATTTTCGTTGATGATTTAAATTCTCAGCTAACTAAATCACTGACCCCCAGAACTCCGGTCGCGTTTGTTTTCCTCAGAAGTGCTGAGGGCTTACGTTGGGAGTGTCTGAGGAGCGCGGAGCTGGTCTCTCCTGGCAGGTAGACAGAAAGGGCGCAGCTGGGCAGCCGTGAATTAGGCTGCCTTCGTGAGGTCTCCTTCCTGTCCGGGTCTTGGCGAGTCTCCCTTCAGCTGAGCATGGAGGTTTCCCAGACTGTCAAGGCTGCCCCAGGCTCCTGTTGGCATAATTATGTATTTTCAGCTTTCCTCCCTAGATCTGATCCAAAGTATTTTTAGTGGTGAATTCACTAGTTCTAACTTTGTAATTTTGTTTTCTGCTTACACAAGTAATACTGTTGGTAAAAAGGTTCCATTATTACAGACACATAGGCGAGGAAAGTCTCCACAGAAAGTTGAGGACACATGTCGGCCGTGTTTGTCCAACATGCAGTCATATTATACTGCTCTGGGACTTCCTTTAGAACCCATTTTGTCTGTCTTCCATTGAGTCCCTGTGCACGACCTTATTTTTCAGTTGCAGAATCTCCCAGGTTTGTCTCCTGTGCCAGACAGAATCTGTAATCTGAGAGTAGGTTCTTTGCAGTTTTTGTTTCATCAGTGAAACCACGATGACCATCTTTGAACAAATAACTGTGCGTTGCTCTGGGAGTGTGTTAAACAATGATTGCCCAACTTACAACCCCAGTAACATTGTTCTTTTACTTTGCATTTCTTTGCTTGTTCGAAAGTTGCAACTTTGATGGTGACTGGCCTTCCCTAGTGCTTGGGGACAAAACCCATAATGAGGTGCTGTTCCCCTCCCAGCTGGAACAACCCGTCTGTCTTGCCCTTCATTAGAGGAGAAAGAAAACAGGATTCATGGAGATTGGATTCCCCAAGTGCCATCACATTTGTTGGGTTTTAACGACAAAATGGGACCAAGTGAGTCACCGGGAGGAGCAGGAGAGTCGTTGGAAATCTCCCTGAACGCCCAGGGCCCACGTCAGGTTTAAGGTGTGGGGGGGCTCCAGCCTTCCTCAGGAGTCAGCTCATTGACAGCTCTATTAAAAAGTCGATTTCATTGTCTCTCGAAGACAAATGGTGTGAAAGTTGTTAACAGAACTCTTGTGGGGATCAAGTTAGTTTGGACTAACTGCTGGCCTTAGTGGTGGGTGCTCACAAGTAAGCTCTGTTTGGTATTCGGCCACTTTAGCCAACAGACAGCTGGGCTCCAGCTTCAGCAAGTCTACTCGGGAATGTAAGTGCCATTCTGAAAGTAAAAACACACACGTCTGAAGTGCTCTGTGGGGTTTAATGAGCGTGGTGTGTTAAGTTGAGCAAGCTGTGGGTGTTGGAATTTAACCTTTTTTACACACACAGTTTTTTAAACATCTTTCCTCTTGCCTCCCACCAGATTATTTGCAGGTGTCTTCCCTCGAATGGCAGCCATCAGTCTGGGGGGTTTCATCTTTCTTGGTGCTTATGACCAAACACACAGCTTTCTGTCGGAACTTGGCAGAGAGAGCCCCTGAATCAGAGAAGGCCCCTGCCTTCAAGAAAGGATCCTGCTGTGAGAAGAGTTTCCCTTCCATTTAGCAGCTGTCCAGCCATCTGAACGACGAGACTCCGTGCGGAAGCCCAGTCCCGCTCGGGTTACAACATGGAGGACGCGTCTTCTGCGCTGCAGGCTGGCTGGGGTGACGTCATCGGCTCGTTTGCCAGAGTGGAGAGAGAAAATGATGTCCACAGTGGTACTCTGAACAGTTTTTTTCTCAGAACCCCTCAATAAATAAGCATGGTAATGCTGAGTCCAGGCCCTTTCAGAGCCTTCATTTGATCTGTATCTGATCTTTCATTTCCTGCCACCTGATAGTGGAGTCAGCCAAAGGCAGGGATGGTTACAATTTTAAAAGAATGGCCAGAAGGAGACTTACGGAAAAAGTTGGGGATGTGGGTGGGTTTTTCCCCTGGGTTAATTCCAGTTGCATCAGCTTACAGCTTTGTGTAAAAAGAATGAACTACAGGTGCACGGCAAGCATCCTTGCTGGGTAAGCAAGCTGCTGGTCTTAATGACCATCACATTTCACCTATAAAAACAGTTGTATTCTTTTACAGAGAGGTGTCCAGCTGCTCATGTGGTGTTTCGTGAGAGAGAACCCAGTCTCAGCTCAGTGACTAGCTGGGCCGTCACCGACCTCTCCCCCTATTTCAGACTCAGAGCAAGGGCCAGGGCTGGCTTTGCAAACACAGTGGTTTCATCCTTCGGTTCACCGTTAGGAATTTTAAGCTCAGCACTGGAAATTGAAGAGATGAAGTGAGAAGGTCACCATTCTAGAGCTTGACTAATAAGCTCCAGGTGTTAGAAAAAGTCAGAGAGAAATCTTAGGAATCCAGTGCTGTCATGTCTTCCCTGGAGCAACAGTATGTAGTTTTGCTTTGACTAATTTTTTTTTCCTTTTCAAGAAGTAAAAGGGTAATTAGGGCAGGATGACTCCCTTACAAAGGCAGTCCCTGGAATTAAACAGGGTGAAGCACGGCTGGTTAATGTAGGTATAAACCAACCCGCCACACACCTAACGTGTTATAAATGAACCTTTATTAAAGACACTTCAATGTTTTACATGTTCTTCAATGTACATTGTACCAAAACTTCTATAAATAAATAACTTTGTACATAAAAGTAATACTTCCTCTTTCACATTGCCTCTCAGAAGCAGCAAATTCACATATTTTGTGGAAGTAACAATCAGTTAACTGTTGACAACAGAATTCTAGATGTGCTTACCTTTTGGGACAGTGGTGACAGCTGACAGTGATTAACATAGGTAAGTAACCATTCCATCAATACGTCCCCTTCAGCTTTTTGGCTAAAGGAACTTGGCTTTCTGAGATTTTTAAGGACCTTGTTTCAATGTAATTTTTCCTGAAATACACATTGGCACTCACAAGATGGTTAGCAACAGGTCTCAAAAAAAGTGCAAAAATACCCAGGAGGAGGGCTGATCTCTGAGAGTCCAAGCCCGGGGCCATCTGGGTGAGGGAAGGACATGGCCAGGCCTGCTCTGGATCCTCAGTAGAGACATGAGCCCTGAAAAGTGAGGACTCGGATTTTTTTTCTCCCCTAAGGCCAACGTAATATTAATTATATCGGCAGAACTACAACATCACTATTGAAAAATCCACAGGTACCAACACCAGCAGCCTCTATCTTATTAAAAAGCCTCAAATGACCATTGAATGATACTGACAAGACCACATTTGCCTTTCTCACAGAAGGAAGAAAGGCATCCTAATTGTTGGAACCGATTGCTTGTGATGGATTAATATTCCACCTGTTAGAGAAAGAACTTAAACCTACAAGAACGCCTTCACCATGAAGGAATGTAACATCTGCCCCTCCGGGCTCTACAGTGAGGTCCCCGCAACGCTGTCCACACAAGCAACCGTCACAGGAAGTTGCTTCCACTGCAGACACAGCCTCTGGTGGTAAAGCATCCCAGGGATGCCAGAGCGCCTCCTTTCCATCCACCTACCAAACCCTCCTGTGAACAAATGTGGTTTGTAGCTTCAAGGAACTCCATCCATGCATTAAGGCACCAGAACTATCCCCCCCCTCCAAAATTAAACAGCAACCAGGTATGAAAAATAATAATGTCAACGTTGTAGGATTTTTGTTTCTGTTAACCATGCACTAAAGATTAAAATAGCCTCTGTAAAAGATATATATAATATATATGGCATCTCTGAGAACTCTTATGTACAAGGGTACCAAATACTTCTCTACCTTTTATACACACTACTAGCCTCTTGCATTTTTGTGCTTCTACTGCAAGTCCTTTCAGACTCTTGCTGCTCTACGTGGAGGTGAGAACTATGTACAAATCAGTGATGCCCGACGCCAGGCTCCCTCACGGCCTCACCCACCTCTCTTTCCTGCAGACGCCATGAGGGCCGAGGTAGACAAAGCCTAGCTTTTCGGTGCAAACAGCAGTGGTGTGTTCCGTCTCCCGGGCGGCTGTCCTGTCAGGGGCGCCCGAGGCGGTGTCCATGAGCTCAGGCTTGCCTGGAGTTAACACAGATGAAGGCTGGAGGTCTAAGGAGTCCGGCTCACACAGCCGCGCTAGAGTCCAAGAGGATGCCCCTAGGAGGGGAGAAAGGAGAGGCCACGTCAGCCTGGCCGCGCACCCCACCTCCCCCCACCCCGACTGGTGACCCTCGGAAGACAAAGCCCCGTTACCTTTCCCATCGAGAGGCACCACGGGCTTCTTCAAGGCGGCCCGCATTCTGTCGTGGTTACTGGGGTAGAGGGGCCCCCTGCTCGGATGCAGTGGAGAGTGTGGGTGCTCACTTGGGCTGGGCTCCTGGCTGCTCGGGGTTCCCGGCTGGCTGCTGTCCCCGGGCTGAAGGTGGCTGGCTGGCTCCTTGGAGTAACCGTGCGAGTCAGCGCTGCAGTCACCGCATGCCATCGGGCCGCTGCGCTCTGTGGATGAGACAGAGAACCATCAGCCACTCTGTAAGGCCTGAGCCCTGCTCTCATCACCTCTGTAAATGCCTTCCCTCCCAAGTCTGTTCACAGATGAAGGACTGTGGCCAACACCAAGCTATTTGTGAAGAACAGAGATCTTCCACATTGAAATGCTGCAGATGAATTTCTTAATCAGACTGAACTGCTACTCTCTGATCCCAGGCAAAAAATCCAGTGTGCATGAGGCGTTGTGCAGTGTCAGAAGTCTCCTGAACAATTAGACATCTGGTGTCAGAGTGGCCCTGGTGAAAAGGTACCTCTTTATTTGTCACTTAAAAATCTAAACTCATGCTTACCCCACCATAGCATTACTTAAGCGATATCCTATTCTGGAATTTAAAAAGAACCTGGCCATACTTCCTGTTTATAGAGTGAATGCCAAATTCTGAGATAGTTTGACATCAGTTATGTGTCTCCCCCCACAACTTTCATGTAGCGAGTAGGTCAACTCATTTTGATTTCAAGAGCTAAATACTCTTTCCTGAGGAAAGCTGCTCATACCCATTGTCTTCTGGGGACCAGGTGGGCCATCAGCCTTCTCCACCACTTTCCACGGCTCCTTGGTGAACCCGACGCAGAACTTGGGCTGCCTGCACATAACACCGTGAGCTTCCACCTCGGGAAAGAGGCCGGCGTCTCTTGGACAAACACCTGCAACAGACTCCCACCAGTTAGACTCCTTCCCTGAGGTGGGCAGAGCACTTCAGACGATGCTGGGTGAAAAGAACGGGCAAGGCGAGCAGCACAGGGACACTCGTCAGGAGGTTCCTCCCAGGGGTTTGTTCCTGGGCTGATAACCCAGAGGTCCAGCGAGGACCCTTCTCTAACCCTGCCTTCACACCAGGCCGGCCTTGCAGCACCCAGTTCTGGTTTGGATAAACTCACTCCAAACCACTGTGCAGTCTTGCCCCATTCCTCTGGGCACTTCCTACTCTGAGAGGCTGGAAGAGCAGAGTGGGGCAGTCTCCCTGCTCCAGGAACGGGGGGTGGTGTGTGTGTTTCTGAAGCGGTCTCATGCTTTGCTGCTCTTAGTGCAGGCAGTGCCACCATGTCCGGGTTAGGAGATGGTAAACCCAACAGAGACCTTGTGGAACTTGCACAGGTTAAGTCCCAAAAGACCCACCAGCAGACTTGGGTCACCCAAGCTGACAGGTCCCCGCGCTTAAGAGGCTGCGCTCGGGCTGAGGCCCTACCGTTGCTCTCCAGATGCCCGTTGGCCTGGTGGCCACCTTCCGTCCTGACCGCAGCCTCCTGTCGGTCCGAGAGCGTCCCCTGAGAAGAGAGGTAGCTCGGGACGTCTGGGGGCACGATGGTTTCATCTGCAGGGAGGCAAGACGGTCAGACAGCAGGGGTCCTGACCCTCTGGTGACAACAAGCAGACGTGGGCAGCCGCTGGAAAGCTGTGCAGAGACGCCGTGTGGCGTCTGCACTGGAGAAGCCCTCCTAGCACCTGCTTAGCCTGACTTTACCCAGGATTGGGAGAGATGTCTGTCTGCCTTCTCATCATTGTGCCCCAAGAGAAAAACGGCCTGGTGAAATCCCTGCAGCAGCAACCCACCACACAGCAGCAAAGCTCGACGGCTCAGAAAACTGCAGTTTGTAATATACTTGCATTGAGAGTATTCCCATTAAAAATGTGCTATTCTCGAAAGATAAAATGCAGTCATTGAGAAAGATAAAATGGTGTCACTCTCCAACGATCTAGACTTTTGAGTACACTGAGTCTCGAAAAAGCCTGTGGCCTCCTTCCCAGACAGCCTGGCCGCTCCCCTCCCCTGCGGTCCCCTAGGCCGCGGTGGCTCACCTGTGTTCGTGACACTGTACTCCTCGCTCTTCTTCCTGGTTTGGTAGATGATGCACACCCAGACCAGGGAGGTGAGCACGATGCTGCACACCACGGCGATGGTGAAGATGCCCACGGTGGTGCCGTCCTTCCGGCAGCCCGGGGTGGGCAGGACGCTCAGCTGGCTATGCGCGCGCTCGGTGCCCAGGGCGTTGGACATCTCGCAGGTGTAGCGGCCCGCGTCTTCCACCACCACGTTCTGAACAACCAGCAGCTGGTTGCCGGGGGTGAAGTGGTGGCGTTCGGTGAGGCTGAGGGGCCGGTCCCCCTTGAGCCAGGTGATGCGGGGCGGAGGGCTGCCGCTCGCCTTGCACTGCAGGGCCACCGTTTCTCCCACGGACACCACGCGGTCCTCCAGCGGCACCGCCAGGGACGGGGTCTCTGCAACAAAGTGGGGGTGTCACCGTTTCTCTCTGGGCCTCGGCTGTTCTAGATCTGTCTGTCTCTTGGAAACGCGTCATGCAGTCCATCTGGGAGCTTTTATCAGAGTGGCTAGGTTTTCTACCAGAGGGACTAACCGGTCCTGTCTGGGGATGAACTGACCTCAAGCCACAGAACCCCCGTGGTTCCCACACCACCTGGTGACAGGCTCACGTCTGTCCCTCTTGACCCACCCTGCCTGCCTGAGGAGAGGGCAGTTCTTCAGAGTGCCTTACACCTAAGCCCTGTGGAGACTAATCCGATGGCTTTTTTTAAGAGAGGGAACCGCTTGTTTTGTTTGAAAACCGCCTCTTGAACTCCCCGACCCCAGGCTTCACAGGACAGTCTGAGAACTGTGCCTCCAGGTCCCTATGATGTGTGAGAAAACCTTTCCCTCACACACACACACACACACACACAGCGTACCAACCTAGGACAGTCAGGGTGGCATTGGCTGAAACGGAGCCAGCCGAGTTCTGGGCGGTGCAGCTGTAAACCCCCATGTCGTCTATCTTCACATCCGTGATGAAAAACACGTCGTCGTCGGGCATGACGTGCATGCGGCGCTCCCGAGCAGCGGGGAAGTCTGTGCCCCCATCCTTCTGCCAGGCGATCTGGGGGTTGGGGTGGCCAGTGGCGGCACATTCAAGGCGGGCCGTGGTGCCGGTCCGGATGGCGATGTCGTGGGGCATTTTGGTGAACGAAGGGAACACTGCAGAGCGGACAGAGTCAAGTCTGTAGGAAGCTGGGTGCAGAGGCCAGGAGTGGCTTCTGTCAGACTGACTGCCCCACTCCCAAGTGTCAGCTCACACTCACCGCCCTTTGTGCAGCGTCCGCCTAGGACGGCCCCCGCCAGAACCAGGAGCCGGGCTTTCTGAGCGCCGCTCCTGCCGCAGGGGCGGCAGTTATCACTCCCTCTCATCGCGCACACAAGGTTGGCTTGGACCCCTTCAATGGAAGACTCCCCTGAAACATTGCTACTGTCTGTCCTGTGGTGACCTGTCTGTATAGGGATACCCCGTAAGTGCCAGGGCCTGATACCTGCCTGCCTGCTTTAGTCACCCTGAGGGAGCCTGACTGCTCAAACTGTCTACCTCTCTCTCTACCCTTAACTGACTACTAGAAGGGGCCCCCCCCCGAAGGGGGCCATCTTGACAGGCTCTAGAGCTGGCTGCCAAGTAAAAATCCTTGTCAGATACCCGCAAGACCATTCTGCTCCCGGGTCACTGGTCCACGGCTCTCTGGCCTGGCCCCACCTGGGCTGGCTGCTGGCCCCAATGCTGGGCTGTCTCCTCGGAGGGCAGCGGCTTCCCCAGTGTTGGGGTGCACTTGGAATCTGGCTGCCAGGCATCCTGGGCTGAGGAGGATAATAAGTGAGGGGGAAAAAAAATAACAAGGTTTGGTCCTACCTACAATGTGGTGGTGGCGGGGTGAAGTTGCTCAGTCGTGTCCAACTCTTTGCAATCCCATGGACTAAACAGTCCGTGGAATTCTCCAGGCCGGAATCCTGGAGTGGGTAGTCTTTCCCTTCTCTAGGAGATCTTCCCAACCCAGGGATTGAACCCAGGCCTCCCACATTGCTGGCGGATTCTTTACCAGCTGAGCCACAAGGGAAGCCTACTGTACATGATAACTGGATTAAAAAAAAAAATCACCCAAAAAGAATTCACTGAGAATAACCCTACAATCTGCTACTCCTGAGCCCAAGCCAGGCCACAGTTTGTGACAGAATGACGCCTCCCATCTCAATCACCAGCCGGGTGACAGAGCAGTCCCGAGCGGGGCTCTGCAGGAGCCCGACCCGCAGTACAGAGACGGCGCACGTACCGTGCACGGTGAGCTTGGCCTTGTGCGAGTAAGAGGAGCCGAAGTGGTTGGTGATGACGCACTGGTAGCGGCCCTCGTGCGCGAAGGTGACGCGGCGCAGGTGCAGGACGGTGGTATACTCCATCACCTCCCCGTCCTGGGCGCGCACGTGGGCGAAGTTCTCCATGTCGGCGTTGGCCAGTGCCTCGTTGTCCTTCTTCCAGGCGAATGTCATCGGGGAGCTGCTGCTGCTGGCGGCCGAACAGGTGAAGCGGACGTCCTTGCCCATCACAGCTGTGATGGTCTCTGGCTGGGTGATGATCTGGGGCTTTGGCAAGTCATCTGGGGTGAGGGGAGCCAGCTGTAAGGCACTAGGACCCTCCAGGACATGGGGACCAGCTGCGGTTCTCGTGAACAAGAAACACAGACCTCCGCGGGTCCCTGAGCACCCTCAGCTCTACCAGATACTCTCAGGGACGTGCACTGTGGTTATCTGACCATATCCAGTAGCAGCTCCATGAACAGTGACCCCTCCATGATCACACCCCTCGATTACAGACATATCCATGGTGCTCAGTTATCAAACAGTCCTCAACTTCCCTAAGGCTACCTCACTGTCACAGAAAACAGAGCATCATGAACCACTGTGAATGCAGAGCCCCCACACCCCTCAAACTTTCTCCAAAGGGAGCAGGGTATGAAGTACCTCCAGAACATCACTCACTTCCCTTGTAGCTCAGTTGGTAAAGAATCTGCCTGCAATGCTGGAGACCTGGGTTTTGATCCCTGGGTCGGGAAGATCCCCTGGAGAAGGGGATGGCTGCCCACTCCAGTATTCTTGCCTGGAGAATCCCATGGAGAAAGGAGCCTGGCGGGCTACAGTCCATGGGGTCGCAAGAGTTGTATCGACTTAGAGACTAAACTGCCACCACCAGAACATCAGAGTAATGGCTTGTGAAAATGTGCACCTCTATTAAAGCAGTGAGAACGTTAGCAAAAATGATCACCATCAGCTTTTTTGGAATCCTAGGCAATAACTAGTCTGTAACAACCCAAGGAGTGTTGATTCAAGAAAACACTTGAAGAAAAGTGACCGTTCTGGCATAACTCACCTGAAGTCCCATTCTCTCCCCAGCTCTATGGTAGCAGTAAAACCCCACAAGCCTAGTAACTAGTGAGGCGAGCAGGACGGGCTGGGCATACCCACAGAAGCTGCGTTTACTTGACCTGATACAGTCTGCTCAGCAAGGGGAGCCCCGGCCCGGGGCATGTGGTAAAAAGAACCAGCAGTCAGTGCTGAGGCAGGTGTATCAGTTGGAACCAGTAAAGAGGGTGGCCAGGAGATTGCAAAGGAAATCGGGTGAGTGAAATGTCACCAGTGGGCTCTGATAGAGGTTCAGTACATTTCTGAAGGACCTAGAAGGCCACCTGCATGTGCAGGACTAGGCATGTGCCCAGGAACGACCTGAGAGTGCAGATTTCTTCCCTGTGACGCGCATTGAAGATCAAACAGGAAGTGATAGCACATCCCCAACACACAATATGTTCATAGGCCGCAAAGACTTAAGATGGCAGTACTCCCGAAATTAATCTAGAGGCTCAATGCAATCCCTGTTTCAAAATCTCAGCTATCTCTATTGCATAAATTGACAAAATTATGGGGACATCAGCGGGAGCCGTAGTGAAAAGAATCTTCAACAAGACCAAAACTGGAGGACTGTGTACAAGCTAATAAAATTGTGAAACTCTCAAACGAAAACATAGGCATAAGTCTTTGTGACCTTGTCTGTGCTAATAGCTTTTTAGATAATGACATCAAAATACAAATGACAAAAGAAAAAATTAGACAATCAAAATTTAAAAACCTAACTAACCCATAGAATGGTAGAAAATATTGGCGTATCTTAATCCTGCTGAGGATTTACTATCCATAATACATAATGAACTCTTCTAACTTAACACTGAAAAGGCAGATGACCAATTAAAACATGGGCAGAAGATGTGAGTAGCCAGTTTTCCAAAGCAGAGATACATATAGGTCCGATAATATGCATATGAAAACAAGCTCAACCTCATTAGGAGGATGCAAATCGAGACAACAGTGAGATTCCACTTAATATCTACTAGTCTAGGTAAAACTGAAACGGCAGTAACAAGTGTTGGACAGCGGAGCCCAGCGTGCTGCAGTCCATGGGGTCACAAAGAATCAGACACAACTTTGTGACTGAATGACAAGTGTTGAGAAAGACAGGGAAACGAGACTCCTCAGGCATTGCTTGGGGGCATGTGAAGTGGTACAGCCACTTTGGGAAACAGTTTGGCAGCTCCTCAAAAAGTTCAGCATACAATTGCCATATGGCCCAGCAGTTCCATTTCTGGTATAAACCCAAGAGATTTTACATAAAAACTTGTACATGAATTTTCACAGCAGCATTATTTATAGTAATCAAAAAGTATAAAACAACCTGATGAATAGCTAAATAAATGGATAGCCATGCACTGGAATATTTATTCAGCCACTTAAAAAATAATGAAGAACTGATACATGGTGGGGGAGGGAGAAAGAAAAAAAACTACATTAAGTGAAAAAGGCTAGTCACAAAACACTATATATAGGATTCCAGTTACACAAAACATCCAGAATAGGTAAATCCTAGAGACCTGATGAACAGGAGTGGTTATTAATCTGTTTGGGGTTTCTTTTATGGGTGATGAAAATATGAAATTAGTAGTGAGGGTTACATGACTATTTCATATTCTAAACACCACTGACTTGTACATTATTTATAGCAGTAAATTTTATATGTAAATTATACTTCTCTTAAAAAATAGCTTTAGTGAAGTACAACTTTCTTACAATACCATCCACCTATTTAAAGTGGACGACTGATGGTTTTCAGTATGTTCACAGGTATGTGCAAACTGCATCATAGTCCATTTTAAGAACATTTTCATCACCTCAGAAAGAAACTTTGCATCTTTTAGCTATCATCCCTTCTCCCTCCACCCCTCCCCAGCCCTAGGAAAACAACTAATCTACTTCTACCTTTAGAGGTTTTCCTAGTCTGGACATTTCACATGAATGGAATCATATACAGTCTTTTGTGACTGACTTGTTTCAAACTCAGCTTGCTTTTCATGACCTAATAATAGTCCTAATTGTATGCCTATACCACATTTTATTTATCCATCATCAACTGATAGGCATGTGGGTTTCCACTTTTTGGCCAGTATGAATAATAGTGCTATCAACATTCATGTACATGCTTTGCTGAGGGCATATATTTTGTTTCTCTTTGGAACTTACCTAGGAGTGGAATTGGTGGGTCATATAGTATCTATGTTCAACTGTTTGAGACGCTGAAAGCTGTTTTTCAAAATAGCTATACTATACTGCATTCCCACCCGATGGGTAGGCAGCTTCGGAGCTCTCCCCGTCCTCACAGACCTTTGTTGGTGTCTGACTTTGATTCTAGCTTTCCTAGTGGGTGTGAAGTGATTACATTTCCATTTTATTAAAAAGGAATGGGAGATTCCCACAGAGCTTGAAATTCTGATCTTCTGCCCAGTGTTTCCATGATTCCCACTAGTACTGGATGATTGATTTGAGTGGGAGCCTGAGCAAAAACGTGAAGGTGGCTCTGAGAAATGGGTCCTGACTGCTGCAGCCCAGGACCTACCTGCCGGGGCCACAGGCCAGAGACTGGGCCCAGCATGTCCCAAGTCCTGCCTCGGCTGGCATTCACTGGGAGAGATGCTGCCCCGTAGCGGGACAGAGGAGGAAGGGGGCAGAAAGTGCAATTTCAGGGAGCTCTACCAAATGGTCAGGGACCAGGAACCTGAGAACAACGGAGGATGTGGCTCTTCTGTCCTAGAGAATGGGAGCCAAGCTCATGGTTCCCGTGAGAAGCACCGACAGTACGGACGGCTGGTTTGGGGGGCTGCTACCACACCGCTGGACTGGGTCAGAAGGCAGGCAGGCAAGCCTGCTCTCAGAAGTGGTGGAGGTGGTGGCGGGTGGGTGTGTGGAAGGCGGGCGCCTCTATCCTGACATCCCCAGGCGCACTGGTTACTGCTGTGCCCAAAGAGTAAGAGAGTGAAGTGCACCACGGGGGTCCCCAGACCCTGCTGTGAGGAGCTCCTTCCTGGGAACATCACCCCCAAGGCTCCGGGCAGACCAGGGGGACAAGAGGCAGCAGGATGCACAGCTGCCCGGCAGTTCCGCTCCTAGAGCAGGAACCAGCAACAACTCGAAGCTCACCTCTTTCTGTGACTACATCTTCCTGCCCACGAGGCTGCGTCATCCCTGCATGGTGCCTGCGTGCATGTGCGTGTGAGCGTGTGTGTGTCTGTTCAGGTGCTCACCATTTTCTGTGCTCTCTGCAACCAAACCTGGATCCCCACCACCCCTCGTCAAAAAGATGGCAGGAGCGATATGCCAACAATCAGAAGGAAAAAAAGCTACAAGTGCGATTCCAGTGCTTTGGAGACGCAGCAAGAGTGCAAGTCAACACGAAGGAATTATTTTTACTGCAGCAACTGTTCTCCTGAGACTCATTCTTCCTGTATTTAACCTTTCATTCTTGGGGTTGGAAAGAAACACACAGGAAAACCCCAGCCTCGTACGCTGAGTAAATTCGCAGCTAAGCCTGGGCACCAGCGCCGTCCTGAAACAACACAGCCACCTTCCTGTAACTGATTATTCGCCGTGTAACTGAACCAGCTCCTGCTCTCCCCTGATTAAATGCATGCACTCCAACAACCACATAATGAGGCGATGGCCCTGTAAACATGACGTGTGGTTTCGGTGGGAAATGAACTGTATCCAGCAGCTGACAGGTCACCGCGGGCTGGGCTGACTCTCAGCACAGCAGCCCCTCCTGTAATGAAGTTTCACCCGGCCTCCGTGCCCTTGGTAAAAAAGAAAAACGCCAAATTACCAAAACCGTCTTACCACACACAAAACTCTCCGGCGGCACGGAGAAGATGCTCCGGCCCTTCAGCGCCTCTGGGTGGGCACAGGTGGCCGTCACGAAGCCCTGCAGCGTCCTGCCCAGCAGCCAGGGGGGCAGCCACTTGAGCTGGCAGTCACACAGGAAGCTGTCGCTGCTGATGTGGCTGAAAGTGAGACGAAAGGGTCATGTGAGCTGTGACCGCACAGGAGGGACGCCCCCCACCTGGCCTGGAATGACCCTCCCCGCCAGCCAGCTCTGGCTGTGCGTGTCGGCAAGCTCCAGTGGGAGATGCTTTCTCTGACGGTTCCTTTCCAGCGACCTAGAGCTGTGCATACAGTCTACCTGGAGACTGAGCAACAGCAGCTTCTCGCTCAGCGGTTTAGATTCTGCGTCACGAACAAGCCACCTGGTGACGCTGACCCTGCTGGTCGAAGGCCCACACTTCAGGTGCCGCCATCTAGACGCCACACGTGTTCTCTCTGCGACAGCCACCGCTCTCACGGGACCCCAGGCGCACGGTCTCCTGGCCTCTGACCATCCGGATGGGAATAGCATGGCCTGTGTGTGTTAAGACACTCAGCTGTGTCCCACTCTTTGTGACCCCATGGAGTGCAGATGCCAGGCTCCTCTGTCCGTGGGGTTCTCCAGGCAAGAATACTGAGTGACTTGGCATGCTTTTTCCCACCCTCCTATAAGACAGACTTCAAGCTTCCAAGCTCAATCCAAGAGTGAGATCTAAATTCTGAAACAAGTCTTGAGAAGGGCTCTTTTCCTATATGACTGCTGTGTTTTTATCTGGCGGATCTGCAGGTTTTGTTACGTCCAAATGTCAGCCTTACCAGCGTGCTCCCCTCTTGTTTGTATATTTATCTCCACACCAGCGCTAGTCAGGAGGCCGGCAGGAATCGGCTCTGCTCCCTAAATAGTGCTTATGAGTTAATTGCCACTGCCCAGGGAGCATGAGAACGCACAAGTTGGGTTTTGTGAGGCTCCAACCAAAACAGAGAATATTTTCTTTTTCATTTCTCAGCAACTAAGGATAAGCTTTTTCAACAGAAATCGGAATCGCCATCTCAGCGGACATTCCTTCCTGAGGAGTCACTAGAAGATAAGTCAGCCGAGGAGCAGACCTGCCCTGTTCCTGGAAGACCTCAGGCCATGAGCTCAAGAGTGGAGGTCAGCCTGCCACGAAAGTGGAGACAGAGGGCTTATTACATGGGCTTCCCTGGAATAAATGGTCCCAGGTACATGACGACAAAAAGGGGGTGCTGAGATGCTCAGAAATCCCAGTAATGTCACATGGGCCAGTTTTAGAGCAATACCTGTCCGCTAACCTGCCCCCCCCCCCCGCCCCCGCCCCATATTCCATAGCCCATTCTTTATTTTCCTGTATGTCACTCAGCCTTTGAATGAGCAGAGAAGCCATCAAATCAGTCAACAGCAAGGCGGGATGAACCTGAAGGCAGAGAACCCACGGCTGACAAAATTATATAAAGCCTGCTCTTTGCTCCCATTCCTCACCTTTCCCAGATGAGCTGGGCGTCTTCACTTATTAAAATAATTTGGGGAAGTGATTTCTCAAGACTGAAATAATTGAGATCTGAGCCATGATAACTGGGATATTGCCCATATTACACCTTAACATCAACACTGGGTTTTGTATCTATTTGATGGGGTAGGGTTATGCTTAGCGCTCTCTGGAGAGCTGCTCTGTTGAGGGTTCCTAGAGGTACCAGGAGGGTCCTCACAGCTGAGCGTGGAGAAACAGCCAATTCCCATCCCACATCTGGAGAGCTCCCCAGAACAGTGGTTGTGGAGGTGCCACGAGGCACCAGAAAACTCCTCAGCACAGGTGAAGAGCAGAAAGGGGCTCCCCACTGTTGGGGGGCCATCTGGAGTGGCTGCCCCTTCCCACAGGAAGGCTTGGGCACCACACATGAACGTCTAGGGGAGACACTGGCTGTCACTGGGAGCCTTCAGGCCTTCACGTCGGGGACAGGGGTGTGTTTCATTTGAACCACACAAACAAACGAGAAAACACCTGACTCTTCTCCCTGATCAGAAATGCTTTCGGGAAGGGTTAAACCTCACATCACACATGCAGGGCATCTGCTGGCCCAGCTTCCTGGAGAATTTCACCTCCTCCTCCTGTTAAAACCTCTGCAGATGGAAGCCTCGAGACCTCAGAGGCAGTGGGTGTTCGGGATGGACAGAAGGCTATCCTAGAGAGTTTAGGAGTAACAGGCCAGAAGAAGAGGCATGGAGGCAGACACTGGGGACACTGACCTCCCTTCCACACACACACACACCACCTCCAAGACCAGGCCTAGCTTGAAAGGCCAGACTGGGGGGGGGGTCACTGGTGACCCCAAGACTCTACAGCTCCCTGCTGCCAACAAGCACAGCCGTCCTGGGCTCCTGCCTTGCAGCCAGCCCAGCACTCTGCTGGCTTCCATCATGCATTTTCATGACTCCAACTCCAAGTGTGTTTCTAATCATTGCTTGTGGAAATTTACCCAGAGGATGACTAAGTGCACGGCTCAACCTGCCTTGATCCGATGGGGGAAGAAAATGACCAAGTGGGATTACCCATTTCTCCCATCAGAGGGCTGGGCCCAGGGCCAGCCGCAGCTGGGTACATGCAGGGGCCCAGGCTGAGCCTCCAGAACCAAAAGCAGCATCTGGGGGGCAGGGCCGGGGCAGAGTCAAGCACCTGGAGGGGTCCAGTCGTTCCCAGCTAGAAAGCCCTAAGGAAGCCCGCGTTCTTAAGAGGCCCAGAGGAAATTCTTCTCTCCCTGTCCTGCTGTCTTCCCTCAAAACACCCTCTTCCCTTTAATGAGATCGTTTTTACTTCCAGCACTATATTTGGAAAGTTTAAAAAATAGGAATGCTGGAAGAAATGTACAGTGAAAACACAACTTAGATTCTACAATGAATGCTTTGTGATGCTTACTTTATCATGTTATCTATCCATGTGTCCATCCTTCCACGAAGTCTCGTTCTAAGACCACGGCCCTTCTGAGAAACAGCACGATCTGACAGACAGGACTCTCACAGGACACTGAGCGTCATGAGGCCAGTGCCGCCTGCCTGCCTGCTCTTACCAACGTCCTTCCCAGGGGAACGTCACTGGGGCCTCTTCCTGCTCCCCTTTCCAACCATGGGGACTGTGCCTCTCTATGGCCCATTCGCCGCTCCCCGCCCCCACCGAGGGTACACCAGGAGGGTCCTCAGGAACGAGGATGAGCTCAGGGTGCAAAGACAGCCATGGGCACGTGTGACTTTGTCAGCTACTTTAAGAACCCAAAGCTGCACCTCTAGGGAACTAAAGAATCAGATACATGTACAGGAAGAAGAAAGGAAGCTCGGGTGTTGCCACCTCCATCCTTAGATGAGCTGCTCTGCCAGGGGTAAGCTCTTCTAACCCGTCACCCCAGGGCCACACTGCAGTGCCAGCATCACCCCCTGCAGACGCCACGGAGGCCCTGGAGACACAAGGGGGCCGGGCACCTCCTCTCCATCCTGAAGTGCATGTGACACTCCACGGTGAGCTCTGCCCTGTCCACAGTCCACCCCGCTGCTTAGAGAAAGCCCTCTCGATAAGGGCCCTTCATTGTAAGCACACCCTAAAGATGGAGACTTGTCCTTGATGTAATTAAAGCGACAAGTATCCATTTTACAGAAGAGAGTTTGTTTCCCATCATCGACAGCAGTGGGTCGTCAGCTGCAGCCTGCAGGCCCACTGCCTGTTTCTGTAAATAAGAATTTACTGGCACACAGCCACACCCACGCATTTATGTATTATCTATGGCTGGTTTCTGCTTAAGAATCAAGCTGTCATGACAGAGCTCTTGTGGCCCAAAAAGTGGAAACTATTTACTGAGGTCCTGTAAAAAAAGGGTATTGTCCCCTGATTCAGAATAAGCCCCTAGAGGGCATTTTTTTCCCCTAAAAGACAATTTAACTTATAAATGATCCCAAGTGTGAAAGTAAAGTGTTAGTCACTCAGTCATGTCTGACTCATTGTGACCCCATGGATTACAGCCTGCCAGGCTCCTCTGTCCATGGAATTCTCCAGGCAAGAATACTAGAGTGGGTTGCCATTCCCTTATCCAGGGGATCTTCCTGACCCAGGGATCAAACCTGGGTCTCCTGCATTGCAGGTGGATTTTTTACCACCTAAGCCACCACAGAAGCCCGTAAATGATCACACAACTGTTTGGTAAAATGAAGCTTACTGCAAATAAGGCACTTCTTACTCTGAAATCCTCTACTCATGTTAATCTGGGGCCATAGAATCCTGGGTACTTACAGCTCTTTAAGATTCTTCATCTTCACAAAGGCATCAAACTGGACAGATCTGATTGCATTCTCTCCAAGGTTACTGAAAAGCAACATTCTTTACTTAGGCAAAGAAACTCTAGGTGTCCTTCAGATTAGCCATGTGTGTGAGTTAAGATGCTCAGGGATTTTTTCTGACAGTCCTGGTTTCGCTGATGAACCATGGGCAATAGGTCACACCCCTGTGTCCTGTCCAAAGGCCACCGTAAGTGGCTCTTCTTTCACCTATACTGACACAAGCACACAGAATAACTGGGGAAAAAGCCACTCTTAAGGGCAGCATCAAAGCTAAGCTGAGGCCTGCTCAGCAAGTCAGTAGGGAAAACTTTTCCAAAAGAATCAAAGTTGCATTTGATTTAAAGACAAACTAAGAATCCAGTACCAGAGGCACCAGATGGTGACATTGATCAGCCTCAGGGCTGGCCCTGTCCTCCCAGCTCCTGGCTCGGCCCACCGTGTCCCTAAGCCCTGCTGAGCTGCTTAAGGGGAGGCTGAGCCTGAGGCAGGTGAAGGGTCATCAAGGGAAGTGGAAGGAGCCCAGGGCCCGAGTCAGCGCCGGGCAAGGGGAGGGAGGAAGGTATTTCTGTGAGCCCCGAGAGGCCGTATGCTCGGTAACCATTGCTGGCACAGGCAAGACGAAAGCCAGAGTTGAAGCTGACTTAGAAGGAAGCAGCTGGCATCTCTGAACAGCCTGTTTCTGGGTTTACAAAGATGTGATTGAATTGCCAGTGGATTCCCCAGCCACCAGGTCCGCAGGCCTGGGGTCGGGGGGGCCTGGCCGGGTACTCACAGATGCTCCAAGCCTTCCAGCCCCGAGAACGCTTTCTTGGCCACGGACTTGATCTTGTTGCCGAACAGCGTCCTGCAGTTTCCAAACATCCAGAAACGAGGTGGAGAGGGCAGGAGAGTGACGAGGGAAGTGGGGGGAGAAAACACAGCGTCAGGGCGATGTTAGCTGAGAGGTCGGTCTGCGGAGAGGCAGGTGGGAATCTGGCCTGGGCTGACATGATGTGTCTGAGGCACACAGACCCTCCCCTTCTGAAATGAGGTACTTTTACCTTTAGCAGAATTTAACAGTAATGACAAGTAGGAACTCCGTGCTCTGTCTTGCCAAAAAAGGCCCTTTGTGGTGGTAAGTGGAAATCACCTCATCCAACCTGGTTATCTCCCCAGGGACCACCCATGGGTGGGGGGTGTGTAGCCACAGTCTCACATGGGAGAGAGCGACTCATTAGGCTCCAGTGATAGCACACGCAGTCAGAATGAAAACTCTTGGAACTAAAGACTACAGCCCACTTCTGAAAACTGCATTCTGGGGATAAAGGTCCCCAAAGGCGGCTGGAAGAGGACAGGACAGTGGATGTGCACTGAGATGGCAGCCAGGATGCGGCCATGCGGAGCTGCGCCCCTGCCCACGAGAAGGCCCCTCAGCTTTTCAGCAAGAGCCCAGGTTTCACATGAAGCCAATGGTGCGAGGATCGTCAAATCCCAGACAGACAGGTCCTCAAAGGTTACCTATCTAACGCCTGTACCTGGACCGCCCACCCAAGAGAGGGGGCGCCCGCCTGCTGGCCACTCCAATCACCATCTCAGCAGTGACAGCCAGAGTTTTCTCAAAAACCCAAACCTGGTGCCTGCTATACACCTGGAGGACACGCAAGCCTCTTCCACAGGCTGTGTGATCTGAAGGGCAGTGAGCCTGGACTTGGGGTAAAGGGTAGGGGTGCACTGAGGGGCTGGACACTGGGAAGAAAAAGCATCAGATTCCAGATTCCCCTCCTCATTATCAGACGCTCTACTGAGCACCCACACCGCATTCTCTCCACCCGCAGCTGCACACAAACCCGTCGGCGAACACCGAGATCATGCTGACATGTGTGGCTCTGTGACCGTGCTGCCTACCAGGGTTCTGCAAAGTGCAGGTTAGGAAGGCCGCGGGCTCCCGGCAGCCAGCGTCCGGGAAGTCTCTGAACCACAAGGTGGGGCAGAGACCCCTAGGCACCGGGCAGGTGCTCAGGGCAGAGAGCCCTGAAGAAAGGCCGGCCGCGAGCCGCTCACAGGAGCGGGAGTCTTTGTCCAGATCCACCGAGCATCAGGGGGATGATCGCCATCAGAGGCCAGCCCTGCTTCAGACCTGCGTTAGGATGGGGCCCACGAGGGACAACAAGAAGCACCAGCCACTCTCTGGAAAGAGAAACGTGAGTCTTGAAGAAAGCCGCAGATGGGCCCCAAGCCTCCGCCCCACTGCAGAGTCCCTGCGGCCATGCAGGCGAGGACCACCAGGCTACCTCCGAGAGACGGGGTCACAGGCCCGGCGGACCCAGCGCGCACCAGGCACAGCTTCCGCCTGCTCCCGGGCCGCTGGACCCCAGGGCTGCGCTGGCCCCACAGCATCACAGCAGCCCCCCAGGGACCCTGAGCTTGGCCCTTGGATGCAGCAGCTCCGGCCCCCGCCTCTGAGGGTGAAGAGCACCAAGGCCACCGGCCCCTTTGCCCTTTCCTTCTCCAGGAGCTGGTCTGCATGAAGGTGAAAACAACAATCTCATCTCGCAAGAGCTTCCATGACTGCTGTCTGAGGCTTTCATTCTAAGACAAACAAACCCAGCACCCAGAAACCCGGTGGCTGTGCCTGCCGGGGCTCCCTCACCGCCGGGCAAGTGTAGCCAGCTCTAACTGGAGGGGCGCCGAAGCCCGGAGCCTCTGACAGCGCTGCCAACCTCGCACTTACTCAGATCCCCCAGGCCGAGTCACTGCGTGCTCCAGGTCCCAGTAAAATATAGTGAACTCTTCAGTGAAATCTTCCGTAAATGAGATCCAGGAAAAAAGCTGTGCTTTATTTTATCTGTTAAATATTAGTCAGGTTGACCTGTTTGACAATGAGGGCAGGCTGCTATTTCTAATGGTGACAATAGCAATAAAACAAAATCTCAAATTCTCAATTATTCAGGGACTGGCTCATCGACTTGTTGGTGGATTGAAACAGGTCCTCCCATTCCCCAGCAGATGTCTATGGGTGGGGGCCAGGCTTGCCCAGCAGACTGTGTGGGCAGAGGAGAGCTGGGGCTGTTGGGGGGGGGCACCCCCATCCCGTGTGCTGGGGGCCAATGAATGTGGCTGCACTCGATGATGGCTCCCAAGAAAGGACAGCCGGCCCGATGACCCCACACCATTGACCTGGAGCAGACAGTGACCTTGGGCTTCGCCTATCAAACCCTCTCCCTCATCCCCTGCCAACCCAGCTCTAACTTCACCCCACAAAGACTGAAGGGCCTGTGCCCAGGAATGCCACGGGAGAGCTGGAGCTGTGGGCCAGCACCTGTCTCCCTGTTGCATACAAGTGACTGAATGCTCTTCTCTGTGGCTGACCTGTGCTCCAGAAACCCTGCCCCCTGCCACACGTGGGCCCCCAGCTGGTGTCCCGTTGACATTCTGGAAGGGGGAGCCGCCGCGTGGGTGAGCACAGTAACGCCAGCCAGCAAGCTCTGGCTGGAAAGCCCATCACCGATGGCTCTGTTCAGCGGCTGCAAAATGAAAGGCAGGGCGGGCTTCACAGAGGGAAGCCTTTTATGGCTCTGCTGCTCACTTGTTTCTTTTTGGAAAACGTTTTAATTTCGGTCTGGCCTTGAGCCTGGCAGGAAGGACCCCAGGTCCTTGACTAGGGGGGTGCAGGCCACACAGTGTCCCCTGGCCCTTCCGAGGGAGGTCCCCGATCTCTGCCCCACAGGTGCTTCCGTGGCTGAGCCAGTCAGGCTCAGGGGACCCGGAGCTCTGACAGCAGCCCCACGGGTGGACAGCAGCTTGAGGGGGACAGCCCTCCTCCACACTGACATGTGCCCCCTGACCCCCGATAATGGGTCCAACAGAGTCACCACTCGGCTGCTCAGTGGGGCGACGTGGTGTCAGGGCCACGGTGCAGAGCGTTCGGGCAGCGCTCCAGGGAGACCAAGGCAGCTCGGCTTCCTCCCACTTCCCGTGACTCGACGCAACCAGCCATCAGGAAGGGCTGCAAGCTGAACACGGGCTGGCTGACACAGAGCCACAGGCCTCGTGGCCTCGAAAGCCAGGCCTGCCTCATGGACAGGAGGGGCCGCCACGTGCCACTCACGCTGGTTTCTAACCAGAGCCACGTACTAGGGTCACAGAATCACAGCCCATCTCACAGCTGTGACCATCATGTAACGGTGCCAGTCCTATTTCCCCTCTGCCCACTTCTCATTCCTCACCTCTGAGAATCTGCATCACATAATTTTCTTTTTCTAACTAAGAAAGAGAATTACTTTTTTTCCTTTTGCGTAGAACCGAAACACCACCCTGCCTAAGTAACTGATTGCATGTATTTAATGATGTTAAGGAATTACTGTTACTGTCCCAGTTTCCCCCAATTGTTTGCATCTGTCTGTCTTTTTTGGAAATGCCCAGGAGAGCCTCCATGTCCAAGATCCTGGCCAGTGGACCTGGGTGGGAGGAGACTGGAGACTATTCTACAGGTCAGGGTTAACCAGCTGCTTCCAAGGAGCCCGTGTCAAGCAGCTCAGCGCAAGCGAAGGATCCAGGCTCTTGGGCTGAGTCCTTGGGACTTTACACAGGACTGCTACTGTAGTCCAGCGGGGAACGGAGAACACACAGGGGAACAGACCACAGGCAATTAGAAAGTAGCTCCAGGCTCCAGACACAGGATGGCTTACACGGAGCCAGAGGTCACATGCCCCGGAGGGTCGCTGCCCTTCACCTGCCAGGGAAGAGCCTCCTGGAAGCCACGACATGCAAGAACCGCCTCCAGGTTTCACGGAACGGACAGGCCCCACACAGGACCCCAACTTCGCCATCGCTTAGTCAGGCTGGGGCCGGACGAGGCGCTGGAGATGAGGCTCGAGCTGAAGGGCTGCTCAGGTGCCCACACCCCTGCCCACGGCCCCCAGCGGCTGCAGCCCGAGCTTGGGGCTCCCCTGTCAATGACAAGCCCCTGTGCCCCATCATGCGGTCCCCTTCCCAAGCCTGCGGGGCAAAGCGCCTAGGAGGTGGGGGAGAAGGGAGCATTTTTAGGGGAGAAGGCGGCTGCCAGGCTTTTTCAACCCACTCAGAACACAAGATCCTCAGGAAGAGACCTCAGTCAAAACAGCTGACACATGCTCACCACTCCCAGAGCACCCAAGGCGTGAAAAACCCCACTTTTCTAAACAAATTAGAAACGCTAACTCCACAGAAAGACCCTCCCACCACAGCGTTTCCCGGAGCCTCGCCTTCCACTGCCGCTTTAAAAATATTTACTTTACTCTCGTGCTCGGCTCGCCGTCTCCGAAACAGGCCGGGGGAGGTGGGGGTACGGAGCTGTGACCACCCTCTGTCTTGTCCTCCTCCACACCCTCCACTCGAGAGGCAGTAAACAGTAGTAACAGCTCCCACCCCTTGCCTGAATGTTCCCGGGGCAGCCTCGGCGCAGAGCGCTGGTGAGAGGCAGCAAGAGCGGACGAGGAGGAGGATACAGGGCGGGCTTTGGGTCCGCACAGGCCCTGCCGCCCAGCAGCTGTGTCATCTCGGGCAGCATCGCTTCCCCTGTTTCCTCAACTACAGAAAAACGCAAAACAGCCAGGCCTCCTGAGATGGTTAGATGTCACACACACACAGACAGACACATACCTCCTGAGATGGTTAGATGTCACACACACTCACACAGACACACACGCCTCCTGAGACAGATGTCACACACACTCAGACAGACAGACACACACCTCCTGAGATGGTTAGATGTCACACTCACTCACACACAGACACACACGCCTCCTGAGACAGATGTCACACACACACAGACAGACACACACCTCCTGAGATAGGTAGATGTCACACTCACTCACACACACACACGCCTCCTGAGACAGATGTCACACACACTCAGACAGACACACACCTCCTGAGATAGGTAGATGTCACACACACTCACACACAGACACACACGCCTCCTGAGACAGATGTCACACACACTCAGACACACACCTCCTGAGATAGGTAGATGTCACACTCACTCACACACACACACACATACATACATGTCTCCGGCGAGTTAGACGTAACACACAGGCGTGCACGCACACATACACACGCCTTGCAAATTCTAGGAGCTTAGAAAAACAAACCCAAACACCGGAAACCCTGAATGAAAAACAGCTACTGTATCACCCTTGGTAATGACTGTTTCTCTTTAAGATTATGATTGACAACAAAAAGACTGCCCGAAGTCTCTAAACCATCAAGAGTTACTTGGCTTTAGATGTTTAGAATTTCTAGAAACTGAATAACAGGGCAAGACGCCTTTGAGCAAAGAAAAACAAAAAAGTTGGCTGTTTTCACATCAGTCAAGAACTGAAGAGAAAAGAAGATCTAACGGGCCTCCAAACCCCAAATCTTCAGCCCCAAAAAAACCAATACCCAGGGCAGCAAGGAGACGGCAGGTCAGAGTGAAGTGGAGAGGTCTCTGCCTTCCTAAGCAGACTTTCCTTTCCAAACAAAAGAACAATGAATGTGCCAGTGCTGCCCGGGGTGGACCCACAACCAAAGTGGTGTGTGTACTGGTGGGGAGCAGGGGCGTGGGAAGAGCCACCTCTGTGCGCCATCCCCACGGATCTTTCAGTGCCCACACTCACAGCTTGCTGAGGCTGTCCAGCCCTGTGAAAGCACCACTGGTGTCCTCGATTGTGCCCGAAATCTCATTGTGGTCCAGATCCCTGGGGAGGAGAGACAGAAGGCTCAGCATCCAGTCTGCTGTGGGAAGAGAGACCCATGCCTAGCCTGCCACCTTGAAGCTCAGAACATCCCAGTCTATTCCAGATGCCTGGATGGCATGTCTGCCCAAGATTACAGGCGTTAGAAAACAAACTTATGCTTGCCTGTACACATGGCTGTATTTAAAATGGATCACCAACAAGGACCTACTGAACAGCACAGGGAACTCTGCTCAATGTTACGTGGCAGCCTGGGTGGGAAGGGGCTTGGGGGAGAATGGATACATGCATGTGTATGGCTGAGTCTGTTCACTGCTCACCTGAAACTACCACAACAGAGTATTAGCTATACCCCAATGCGAAATAAACAAGGAAAAAAAAAATTAGAGGTGTGACCACCGGGCCACCCTGCTGTGCAGCCTGGCTTTCTCAGCCTCCCAACAAAGCTGACAGGGGCCTCTAACCAGCAGCTTCTGGGCTACACGTGCTGCTCCCCAGTGGGCTAAGATCAGCCCCGGGGGAAGGGGTGCAGACGGCACATGGGAAAGCCTGCTTTGGATTCCACTCCCCAAGGGTGGACTTCTGGCCACTGCTCTGAGAATAAGTCCAAAAGGTTCCCTAAGGTTGCCATCTGCTTTCCTACCACCTAGAGTCCCTTCCCTGGACTTGACGAGACACTGCACAAGGCCCGCAGAGGAGGGGGACGGTGAACAGCAAGCCCCTGGCACAGGGCCCTCTGTAGCCACCTCCAGGCTGGCAAGTGGGTTTTGCACCCTCAACTCCCAACCCCCCCAGGGCCTCCACAGGTGCTGACTCCCAGCCAGGCACATCTGGGTGCTGAGTCAGACTTGTGACCCGCTTGCCAGGATGAGAGTACGAGGCCAACTTCTCAGGCTGGTCCCCTCCAACAATGAGAATCACAAGGTCGATGACTCAGCTTCCTACCCCAGCTTCCAAGGGCAGGTCACCACCGGGCGAGACACCCCACCTGGTGACCATGCCCCGCGCTGCCCCGGTCGGCCCTCTCTGACTTTCCACAAGGTCTCCCACACCTTCCTTTCCAGAGCCCTGGAGACGTGGGCCGTGAACAGGACGGGATGCCGCTCTTGGCTCCTGGGAGAGCCAACGGGGCAGGGAGCTTGGACCGTGGAGTGCGTTGGTTGCTCTGACCTTTATTTTACAGCAGCATGTGCAGAGAGCTGCGATTCAGAGGCTGGAAGGGCCTCCTCCTTCTCATCCATTCCTCCTTATTTGTCCTGAAACACCCGGGACCCAGGGCTGCGGCTTTGTGTGCCTGTCCCCCTGCTCCAGTCCTGGCTGCCAGAGTTTTTTCTTTCTTCTCTGGCCTGCGCCATCTGAACATCCTGGCCGTGTCAGTCAGCACCACGAGGGCTCGGAGGCTGACCCCAGCTTGAATAGCCTGGTGTCCGGGTTCTTTCTCACTCCCCAGCGACGGCCTGGCGTGACAGCTTTCTCAGCCCTCCCTGCCAAGTGCAAGGGCCTTTCTCCCCATCAGGCTGGAGCAGCCGCTCTTTCTGCAGGGGGCAGGCCTGGGAGGGAGGACCCGCAACCCTCTGTTGAAATCCAGATGCGCCCCCCCCCCTCAACCCCCACCCCATAGCTGGTTGGCTGGTTTTTCTTTGTTGCCTGGAAGTTCTTGGAAGCCAATGGCTGAAAAATTTCAGTCCCAAAAAGCGCCCTGCAGCAAGCTCTGAAAGTTCCTTCCACCTCACTGGTTGCTGCAAGGAAGGTGACATGACCACCTCCGTTGAGTTAAACGACCCTCAGGGACACAGGGCTCCCCTGTCACCTCTCGTGGACATGGGCTTCTGAACGCACAGTGTGTGCTGAAGAAGTTGAGATGCTAGCCCAAGACACACGCCTCAGTACTGCCCTCGCTCAGATAAAAACGCTCAGGACAAAACCACGAGTCACTGTGGGACGGCTCAGGATGCAAGGACGGCCCCCCGGCTGGGCTGCTGTCCCGGGGGGCGGCGTGCAGTCTGGGGAAGTTCCTGCAGCTGGACCCCACGTCCCATCACGCGTAGTGTGGGAACCAGCGCTTGGAGACGAGTTTGAGTCTTCATCATTCTAGGCACCACCCTAAGGGGAATGAAGGACAGTTTTCTGCTCAACCAGCTCTTTTTTGATTTATGATATTAAAGTTTGAGACCGTGGCAGACATCACAAGTCAGCTGTGGATCTAACTGCAACTCAAGACCAGTGAGAAGGGAACACAGTGAAGCAGGTGGCTTGCTGTCTTCTGCTCTCCCATCAACCCAACGGGGAAAGACTTACAAGACACGCAGGCTCTTGAGTCCCCGGAAGGCGCCTTCCGCGATGTGACTGATGGAGTTGTGGCTGAGGCGCAGGATGCTCAGGCTACTCAGGTCGGCCAGGCTCTCCTCGTCCAGCCGGGTCAGGTTATTGAAGGACAGAATCCTGAGGAACGGGAGGGGAGAGCAAACGTGATCACCATTGGGTTGCTCGGTGTTGTCCCTTCTCCTCTCCCGACGGTGGAGCCGGGTCAGCCAGTCGTCTGGGTCCAAGTGGGAAGGGACATGGCCACCAGAATCCCGAGGGCAAAGTGGTCTCAGAGCTAGAAACCCACCACGGCTTGATGCCCATGGAGCTTGACTCTTGGAAGGAGATCTGTAAACAGAGCACTCCAGGGTCGTTCAACAAGCAACCACAAGGCTCCAACACTTTCCTACACATCGTGTCCGTGGTTGGTCCTGATTCAGGCCATGGAAGACTTCTCACAGCTGTGGCCTGAGACTCTGGATGGGACCCCAGCGGGTTCTCACAATGAGCGAGGCAGCCGGACAGCCTCCGCCCTCGGCCAGCAGAGGGCGCCACAAGGCACTCCCTGGAATAAGACTCACTCACCGAACTGTAGGCCTCACCTGGGCGGCGACCTTGGGACCAGTGTCCCTCCAGGCTTCCTTGCCCTCACCTGAGCCAGCCTCTTAGCATGATCTCCCTACTGTAAACAGGTCAGGACCACACCTCCAATCACACACCTTCTCTGAGCGTCAGAATCAAACTTTCCTCCCAGCACACCCCCTGCACCTCTGATGTGGCTGTGGGTTGTGACCTAGTGTATTAGTCATCTGTCCTTGAAAAAATGGGAACTCTGGGCTGGGGCAGGAGGAAGGAAAATAAATTCGGAGATTAGTATGTTAAGGTAGCAGGGAGTGACAGTTTTTCTCTCCTGGAGAAGTCAGGCATGGTGTCTGTCAGTTGCAAAGACCTGGCAGGAGATCAAAATTACATCCTCACCTGCAATTAAAGAATTCAGCTTAAAGGAGGGGCGGGACACACACGTGGAAAGCAGCCCTAAATCTGGCTCCAGGGTTACCTGGGTGTTGGACACAGTGTGAAGCTGGTCAGGACACATTCCCGTCACCGCCTCTGACCCTTCTGAAGGGCACAGAAGGCAGGCCGAGGGGGGCAGGAGGAGGTGCCCCTCCCCATTGCCTCAGCACCAGGGGGCACACACCCTCCGCGATTCAGTGGGCGGGTGGCTCCTCGCCTGTGCAAGTGCACGTGCTCTGGGGGATGAGAAGACCTCTCCTGCTTCCCCACGGCTCCGATGCCTGGACCGTGGAAAACCAAGGGTCCTGGGAGCTCCTGAGTGGGGTCCTGGCCCAAGGGGAGCCTTTCAGAAGCCATCCCAGTCCACGTGAGGATACCGTGCAGCTCCAAGGCCTGGAGGGGGCAGGGAGCCAAACCCAAAGGGTTACTCTCACACACACACACACACGCAACTATCGATTTTTACATTAGGTAATGATGGACTTCACTGAAATATAAACTCCAGGTCTATTAGTATGGGGTGGGCTGAGGGAGAAGGAGGAGGGGGGAGAGGGGAGAATGTAGACAAATAGATAAAAACACAACCTGCAAAAGACTCAGTACTAAGTTTAAACATGGTAAACACATAGAAATTCCTTACTGTCCACGTGTCACCACTTCTCGGGTTCACTGTCTTTTCTGTGAGCCCCAATATAGACATAACTTGCTTTACTGCGCTTTGAGGATACTACACTTTTTTTTTTTTTAAACAAATTGAAGATTTTGGCACCCTGTGTGGCTGGGTGATAAACAGCATTTTTCAGTAATAAAGTATTTTTAAATTAAGATCTGTACATCATTTTTTCAGACATAATGCTACTGCACACTTCCCAGACTACAGTGTAGCAGAAAGACACTTTTCTATGTACTGGGGAGCCAAAAGCGTTACAAGGTGGTCTGGGACTAACTGCACAGTACCACTGAGGTCTGCCTGTAGCCGCTCTCTCTATACAGAAGCACATGTTACAGGCTGCAGCCGTTTGTGGCCAGAGGCTCTCAAAACAGCTGTTCTTAGACAGTGGTCCCTGCTAATCTGAAATGGGGAGCAGAGTCTAGAATAGGTGAGAGTCAGGCTCTTAGGTCCTTGGAGTCCCGCTCTGCAATAGGCCCTCAACACTCCTCCCAAGCCCCTGTGCTGTGGGTCACGGGGTCCAGGGCTCCCCAGGCTCTGGAGGAGGCACCCCCGGGTGCGTCCACCGTCACCCGCAGAGCTGGTGGGACACTCACAGCTCGTGCAGCTTCTGGCAGAAGCTCCAGCCATCTCGGTGGATCCGGGAGATGGAGTTGTTGCCGAGGTGCAGCTGGTGCAGGGCCGTGAGGCCGTACAGCGAGCCGCTGTTCACCTCTGCCAGGCTGTTGTACTCCAGGTGCCTGCCACGACAGCCCCCCGTGCGGTGAGTGTGAGTGCAGATCCCGGGGGTCCCGCACCCACCCGCCCACCTGACAGAGAAGGAGCCGCTCCCTGCCATCACAACAGGCGGCACTGAGGATCTGACACTGCTGGAGGGACTCGTGATGGGTGTGCACTGACGTGTGTGCGCACACCTGTGGGGTGGCAGGGAGGCAAAGCTACATAGATGGTGGTGAGGATTCAGGCCAGCTGCGAGGACTCACAGGCCATAGGGAAGCGCCTAGAAGCAACCTTCTGAGTGGCATACAAGCGAGCCAGCAGCACACGGGCAAGGAGCTCAAAGTAGAAGGCAGGGCCCACTCAAGGCAGAGAGAGGAAGACAAGGAGATAGCTCTCATCACTATCCCTGTCTTACAGATGAGGAAACAGGCTGAGACAAACAGGGTAACCTAAGACTTGTTCCTCAGCTCAGCCAGTAGTGAGGGGCCGAAACTCAGAGCTAGGTGAACCAAGCCTGGGCCTGGGGCCACTGTGCCAAGACATGGCTTGACATCTGGGGTCAAAATACTGCGACTTAATTCTCAATTCTGTCACCTGGCTGGTTGGAGGAGCCTGAACAACCATGAAGTGGAGATGCCCAAGAAGTATTGACTCCATAGGGCTGTGCTGAGAAGGCAGAAAACGCAGGTCAGAATTTCAGCTTCGTGCTGAGAACTGAGCTCCTGTTTAAGTTCAGTTAAGTAGGGATGTTAAGTTACCACCAGCCTTCTCGACAGCGCGGCCACAGACGATGCGCCACCTCACAGGACTGGCCTTGTGACCAGAAGCTACTACTTCACATGCTGCTCCGCACGCACGATCACAAGGGCTTCGGGCAGCTGGGCTTTGCTTTTCACATCGTCTGTTTCCTGCGTCTGCTCAAAACGTGAACCCTTAATTTATAACTAACCTCTAAGGTAACTCTTCCTTCACCCCCCAACTTGCATGAATTTGTTCAACAGAAAAACCAAATGGTATGTGCTAAGAACTCTATATTTTCCTGAGAATGCACTCTGACTCCCAGCCCACCCAGTGCACGACCACCTGGCTTCCAAAGTCTAAAATGACAGTTTTAAGGATGTCAAGGACAAGTGTTCTTGAATATATAAAAGAGACAGAGTTATGCAAAGGTGAACAATGAAGAGAGGGAGAAGCAAAGCTTCGCAAGGCTAAGCTGTCTTTTACAAAGTATGTGTGTGTGCATGTGTGTGGGTGTGTATGAAGGTATGCACATTGAGAGATGCTCCAGATAATGACGAAGGCACAGGGAGTTGATGGAACTGGACCTGGAGTTTCTGGTTTTTGTTTCAGTTGCAAAGATAATTGAGCAAGGACACAGATGGAGTGCTGTAACTTGCAGACCAAAGGGCTTCGGCGTGTCTTGAGCAAGTTAAATCACTGACCATAAAGCAAGAAATCTCATGATGACACACCAAAATGTAAGTGGTCTTAGTATATGAACTTGGAAGGAGCAACCAGCAGAACTACAAATAGAACACAAAGATAGAACATGATGAGAAGTGACTGCCTGCCTCTTGTGAGTGGGACTGGGAGTGGGGGGAGAGACTGGGGGCTAGGGTTGGGCAACAACTGCTTTTCTTTACTATCTGATTTTGCTCAACTATTGAGTATATATTTCTTTCGATTAAAAATAAACAAATGTAAATATTTAAAAGTTGAAGCTTGGTAACTGCCTCGTCTGACCCTCTCCGGATGCTCTTCTGTTCCCCTGTTTGGCCGGCAAGCCCCAAGACTGTCCACATCTGGCTGGAGCAAGTGCTCCCTTGACAGAAATGGAACATCTGCAGTGAGGGGCTTGATTAGCTCACAAAACAGAAATAAATCTCTCAGGACAAACTATACATTCTTTGGCCCACCTGCACATCAAGAAAGACTGTCAAAACCGAAGTAGAGGGAGAGGGAACTTCCTGTGGCGTGTGGGAGAGGGGAGCGGATGTGGGAAGGAGCCCACTGTCCGCCAAGGAGCGGGGGGCAGGGGTATACTCAGGAAGAACAGTCTGACTGCATAATAGATGTTCCCTGTACTTTACCCTTTGCTTCCGGTTAAGAATGCTGCCTAGAGTATGAAGAATACTAGGCCATATGACGCTTTTCCACTCATCTAGAGACAAGACGTTGCAGAACTAAGAATAACTTTTGTCTGGTCGGAGGTTTACTGAACATCAGGACCTGACTTACAATGGATGGCTGCAAGATCAAGGGATTCCTACACCAAGGCTGCTGGTTGTAACAAGCAACCATGCTCCTCTCTCACTTGGCCTTTAAAAATACTTCCCTGAAACACTTTGGGACTCTGGCTTTTCTTGGGGCATGAGCCACCCATCTCCTCGCATGGCCCTGCAATAAACCTTTCTCTGTTCCAAAGTCTGACGCTGCAGTATTGTTTGGCCACATTGTGAGTTGGGCACCAGAGCGTGCATTCAGTAACAGGGGGAGTGGAAATGGGAGAGGGGAACAGCCCCAGCAAAGCGGCCCCTGCCTTCCATCCTCACCAACCAGCTCACTTTACCAAATCCTCTGAAACTCTCCCAAGAGATTATCCTAGCCTGCAAGGAAAACACCCTAAGAGGTAGCAAAAGATCCCAAAGACACTGAGGAGGGCCACCGCTGAGGTCCCAAAGGGCAGGGACTGGGTCCAGCCGAAGTCCCAGGGGATCGCTCAGGGCCCTGCAGGAGCCCCGGCGCCCGGCTCCGACTCACAGCGCGTGCATCCTGGCCAGCCCCCAGAAGGCACCGTCCGTCAGCTTGCTGATGTTGTTTCGCTGGAGCCTCAGCACCTCCAAACTGTCGAGCCCCTGGAATGTCAGGCCCTCGATCAGCCGAATCCGATTTCGATTGAGGTCCCTAAAGAGAGGAGGCCGGCAGTTCAGAGCATCCACTACCCAGGCGCCCCCAGCCGTCACCAGGCGGCCCCCCAGGACAACCCCAGGAGGCGGCCCCGGGCAGCAGAGACATACCATGGAAGCCGTGTGCCCAAGACACCAACTGGCCACTGTCAACATGTGCTCCTAGAAGCTGTCCCCTTGCACCCCAGAATGAGCGGGCACTCCTATTTCCTCCCCCATAACCGTGACTCTGTCGTGAGGACAGCGTGTGACTCAGGGTGTGAATGTCTTAGGTGAGCCAGCTCTTAGCTCGGCGGCAGAAACCACCATCAGATGCGTCAACCCAGGAACTCGAACCACTAGATACTGGTGGCAACTTCCCACCAACTGCATTCGGGAGGAGGTGCCTGGAACCACCATGAAGCACACTCATGGGCCTCCGGCCCCTGTGTGATGAGACCTCAGTGAACCAAAAGATTTCAGGAATCTGGGTGAGCTGGCTACATTGGTAACACTTGGGAAGGGAGAACACAGCCTGACCAGTGAGCCCTCGGTTTTCCCCAAATTCTTCTGCAGTGTCTCATGACGCACACCAGGTCCTGACTATCAGGGAGTCTCTCCGCGACCCCCGGCCTGGTGTGCGCGGGAGCACAGCAGTGAGAGAGAGGGGAGCACCCCGTCTTGCCACCACACCTGCCCCTGAGTAGCCCGTTCTGCTTGAACCAAAGCTCCAGTATCAGTGTATTCTCCAGAAATACATTTTTCTCCTACCAAAAAAAGGACGCTGGAAAGGCAAAAAACCGGGGAACAGGCAGTCCGTCAGGTTTTGGTAAATAGAGGTTTTCTTGACTCCAAACCCTGGGCCATTCTAGGAGTGCGGTCAGTTGTGGTAGTCAAAAAACTAAACAAACACATCCTTTCTTTACAAAAAAAAAGCCAATCAACTACCTTATGAGACTGAGGAGATGAAAACAGTGACCCTATCTCTTGCTTCCTACCTCTGGCTACACTAAGTTCCTCTCTTAATTCTCAAGCAGCACTGGACCCCATAATGGCCACTGGACAGATTACATGGGTTCCTTAAAAAAAAAAACCACACACACAGAAACCTCACAATAAATAAGGACTCCAGTCCACACAGGCTATGTGTTAGCCAGGGTCAGCTAAGCAGCAGGATTCCTCACTGTGTTCTGGAAAGTGCTGAAGAGGACCGGCCTGCATATCCTCAGAGGATCTTTTCTCAGCAACCTGGGGCAGTTTGCAGGCTCCAGACCCAGCATCTAATTTGCTTTTATTAGGTGCTGCCACAGGGCCATCAGTGATAGTTCATGCAGAGCCCAACCGAAAGGGAGCAAGGGAAGCGGGTGCATTTGGAACGCTCCTTGGGGAACTCGTCTCCATAAAGTTTGGCTAAGCTTAATTACGGTACAGGTCTCTGGACTCACAGTTGTGTCAGCAGGGGTAACTTGAATGCTTTCACAGGAAGCTGGGTGATCCTGTTTTTGCTCAACCGAAGCGTTAGCAGTGACCGTGACAGACCATCAAATGCTCCTGATTCCAGGGTGCTGATCCGGTTGCTTGCCAGGTTGCTGGAAGGATTCAGGAGAGAAAATGCAGGGGTCAGTAGGAGGCCTTCCTTGTCTTGTTACAGACGCCAGACCTGGCTGAGTTGGGAAAACAAGCTACAACACACCCAGCAGGCTGGGTTTCCAATGAGACATTGGTCATCCTGATGCTGCAAAGCCCATCTCCGCTCCCAGCCTCAGGTGTTAGGACCGTCTTCAGATGTGACAGAGGCCTGGCTTGTTCGAGCCCAGAGCTCACCCTGCTTTCAGCCAGGGTGACTGCTCCAGGAGGGAGGTCAATGGCCTCCACTCCAGCTGGGCTGCTGCAGGAGTCCCTCTGTGCCAGCCACTACCCAAGGGTCAGGGTTCAAGGTTGGTGAGAAGAGCCTTAGGAAGCAGAAAGTCCACTGTGAGGTAAGGTCAGAGAGGCTTTCACAATTTGGGGAAATGGCCTTTAATTCTGAAGTGGATCCCATTGTATGACTTCTAAATGTACATAAAACATTTCATTTTAATCATTTCAAATGTGTCAGAGAAACATTCTAGTGAAGGAGAACTGCACACGAATGGTTCCGAGCGGGGGAGAGGGAAAGGAAGTGGGGCCACAACACTTTTCCTTCCACCTTCCCTGTACCGATGCTGCCTTGTTGTGCCTTAAACAAAAGAGAAGAGACCAGAGAGAATTTTCTACATCAGAGCTGGGAAGGGAAGGAGGCATTCTTCATCTCCATCCAGCAGAGGCCCAGCACAGGGCACATGAGGATTCTTTGCAAACGGAGCTGGACTGTTTCTTCCCAACACTCCAGATTAAAGAACAGTCTGTGTGACGAAGACATACCGGCCAGCTTCTGCCAAAACAGAGAGTCCCCCTGCTTTCGTGCAGAAAGAGAAGGTCACTGCGAGGCAGTTCAGCAGGGGAGGTGTTTTTGTCCCAAGCAGGGTGGTGGGGGTGGCTGGTGGACCTCCTTCGGAAGCCCCACTGGGGGCTGAGCACCACTCCATCAGCCGAAGGATTGGCCAAGGCCTCCCGCTTCCACCTCAGGCACCCTGATGCATCCTAAGAAAGAGACTGTTCTGCTCCTCGGGCATCTCAAAAATCTGTGCACCCGGCCTTGGTCTCTGAACTGATGGGTCACAATGACCCATAAACCAACCTCACAAACAGCCCTTAGAGTACTCAGTGGTAACCCAAGAGATGAGGGCTCGCATGTCATCTGAAGACGCCTCTTTAGCCTGAGTTTTCAGTTTCTTCCCTAAAATAATCTTCTCCTACCAACAAGCAGTGGGTTAACTAGGTTTTGACTGTTTTTCTTCTGTCTGCCATCAGCAGGCATGAGACAGGGCAGAACAGAAACAGACCAACAATCCGACGAAGCAGGTCGAGAGCACTCCGAGGACGGGTGGGCACTGGCTGGTGGAGTCTCTGCAGAGAGGCTGCCCTCCGCTGTCACTCACCTAACTACTCCCCATCTCTTCTCTAAGCTTGCCTAGGGGGCAGCCCCCGGAAGGAGAAAGAAACCCGGCTTTGTGGTCCACACAGCCATGCGTTTTAGCGCGAGATGGTGCTCTGAGATGGGTCTGTCCCCCAGGTCAGCTCCCTCGCCCACGTGTACAGTCAGAACAGCACCGCTGACTTGGACATGCTGAAAATGGGCTAACAGAGGACTGTGGACCTGGGGCCCCTGCCCTGCTGAGGGCACAGATGGCAGGCATGTGCCTGGCCCACGGACTCAGCCAGGCATCCACCAGCGTCCAGGCCTGGCCAGTGCGGGCAGACCTGATGCACTTACAGCTCCTTGAGTGGCAGTCCATGTGGGAAGCAGGTGCTCCGGATCTCTGTGATGTTGTTGACGCTGAGATCCAACACTTGCAAGGAAAGGTAAGCCTTCAGCTGACTCCCCTCCACGCTGCGAATCCTGTTGTGTTGCCTAAAACACACAGGGCAGGTGAGTCCAACATGTCATTTTGCAAAGAAACTATTATCCTCCACACTTCTAGACATTTTTCCCCTGCAGTTTCAGAGAATTACAAATGCTATGACACTTGCAAATGAGGTCTCCCATCCTTCTTTCCATCAGGTTATTATTACCTGCAGGCCGGAAACTAGACGGAACATTAAATTCTTTGCCTGTGACAAGTTTGTCTGCCCAAGTTCTAATCCAGGCTGCTCTCCCCAAGGACAGGAACATGGGAGTGATATTTTGGCCATGTGGAGAGCAGCCTGGCATGACCAGAACTCAGAGCTCACTGGTATACTTTCCCACAGAGGATGTGCCCCATGCAACCAGCCAGCTTTTGAGGCTGCTCGTGTCTAGAATCTTCAGAATCCAGGCCAACCCCATCACTCACAAGAATGCAGGCACCAGAGCCCAGCATCCAATTTAATCCAACTGAGCGCATCATTACACACTTCACATTTTACTGACACCTACCATGTACCAGGCGTGTCGACAGGCACAAGGGATTTAAAAAAAGAAGTGCAGAATCCTGCCAGCCTAATAAGGGAAACAGGAATTCAGCGCTGGGTCTAACTGGAATCGAATCCCCTGCATCTCTGACCCCACCCTCTTGACAGCTCTGTTCCTCAAGTTTCCTCATCTGGAAGATGGGGCTACACCCCCTCACTTTAGGAATATGAATAGTTCCACCTGAACCACACTGCTGTCTTTGGCAGATGTTCACATATGTGTTCAGTGTTCACCTCCCTCTGAGACGTATTTGTCCTTGGATCCTCTTTCTAAAAAACACCACGGTCTCACCCACCAACCAGTATTTATTAATCAGCAGAAATCTGACAAATGCCAACCAAGGCTGGAAGGAGCAGGCCAGTCCCCTGGTGGGTCTGGCTCTGCCTGGCGGATTCAAGCTGCCACAGCCCAGATATTTCAGACCCCGTGGAGTTGGGCGCTGTGCTTCTGGTTCCACGCGCTCACTGGGGCCGGCTTCTGAGTAAACAGTGTCAGGGGCTCCAGCCAATCCAAGCAGTCTCGGACACGACACAAGGGAGCCAGGCGTCGCTCACCAAGTGGCATCTCTTTTAAACAAACACTTGACCAAATCGGTTCCAACAGGCATAAACAAGGCCTTCTTTCCCAGAAGCTCTGGGCCTTCTCGCTGATGCCTTTGTTTTCTTCCCATCTTTCCCAGGCCTTGAACCCGAAAACCCACTTACGAGGGTACAGCTCCCTTTACGCTCAGCAGAATCTCCCTGGAGTGAAAGGCCACTTTTTTCCCTCCATGCTCCCCCCGCCAAACTACTTCCTTTGAGTTCTTTATTAAATTCTTAATAAAGATAGTCTCTTCAGTTTTCTGACTCCCAAATAAAAAGGAAGAAAAAAAAGAATAGAAAAGGAAACCTTTATTATGTAAAGTATGGGAAAAAAGAAGGAGAAATAAAGGGAACAGAGTTGAGCCTCATCCAGGAACTCTGAATGCAGTACCAGGGAGCCAGGAAAAAGAAGGTCTAAGGAAAGAAGGGGAGGGGCGCCGCCGGCCCCAAGTTGCACAAAGAGGGACCGACCGTACACAGTCCGAGGGACCACGGGACAGCTGCAGGCCACCCCCAGCGCTCGCCCGCTCAGGCTTCCCTGTCTCTTTCATCTTACACCTTCTTTCTTCTTTCTCATCTGTGTATTTATTCACCGAATCAAACATGTTCTGGGCCCCGCTCTGTGCCAGGCCCAGGCTGGAGGAAGGATGCTGTGATGAAGACTGGTCTCTTTCACACGCTGGAAAGAGTTCCCTGTTGAGCAGAAGAGGCAGCCATGGAGATGGGGAACAACGGAGCGTGGGAGTGAGGATGGGTGAGATCTGCCAGGAGGGAGAGGGGAGCTGGGGTGGATTCTGCCTGGAAGAGGCTGCGGGGGCCAGCTCCAGGGTCGGGGGCGGGTGTGGATGCAGGCAAGAGACGGGGAGGGCAGAAGCAGAGGGACATCAGGCGAGGCCTCAAGAGCCTCTGAGGAGTACGGCGTCTATGTCCCAGGGGGCAAGGTGAGAGATGGTGGCAACAGAGACAGGGTCCACAGGATCAGGACACCACAGAATGGTGATGCTAAATTTTCTAGTTCAGAAATATTAAGAAAACCAGGTAACTTGGCTTTCCTGGTGGCTCAGTGGTAAAGAATCTGCCTACAACATAGGAGATCCCTTGGAAAAGGAAATGGCAACCCAGTCCAGTATTTTTGTTTGGAAAATCCCATGGATAGAAGCCTGGTGGGCTATAGTCCCTGGGGCCACAAAGAGTCAGACACAACTTATCGAGTACAGAACAACAGCAATGAGGTAATGGGCTACCCCTTCCATCTTTACCCCCTTCCGCCTACTCTCAACTCAACATCCAGAGAAATCCTGTCAGGGCATCTCTCAGAATGGGAGAAAACATTTGCACACATATCTGATAAGGAGGAAATAACCAGAACACTCGGAACTACAACTCAGCGACCACCACACAAGAAACCCCAACAAGTTGAATAAAAAATGGGCAAAGGCCTTGAAGAGACATTTCTCCAAAGACGATAAACAAATAAGCACATGAAAAGATACTCAACATCACAGATTGTTAGGGAAACTCAATGAGTTAGAGCCCCAAACCCAGAGCATGACCACTACTAAAGACAAAACAAACAAAAACAGGAACAGTAAGTGTGGGAGAGGGTGTGGAGAAGCTGGGATCCTGGCACAGTTGCTGAAGACAACGGTACGGTGGTTCTTCCACAAAGTAGGCAGAGAATTACCAGCATGGGCCCCAGTAATTCTACTGGGTATCCATCTAAAAGAAATGAAAGTGGACCTCACAGGGATCTGTACACCCACATTCACAGCAGCATCACTTACAGTAGCCAAAGGGTGAAGCAACTCCATCAGTGGATGAATGTATGGATGGATGGACAAACCGACAGGTGTACACGTACAGTGGACTATTACTCAGCCTTAGAAAGGACGTTCTGACACACATTACAGTATGGATGAATCCTAAGGACACTATAGTAAGTGAAAAATGCAGGTCACAAGAGACAAATACCTCATGATTCCACTTCTACAAGGTACCTAGAGCAGTCACATGCATTGAGACAGAAAGTGGAGTGGAGCTGGTTGCCAGGGGCTGGGGTTGGGGCATGGGGAGTGGCTTAATAGGGGTGGAGTTTTCATTTTCCAAGATGGAGAAAGCTCTGGAGACTGGTTACACAACACGAGTGTACTTACCACTACTCAACTGTACACCTAAATGATTAAGATGGTACATTATACGTAATGTGTATATGACCACAATTTACAAACAAAACAAAGAAAAAAAAATCAAAGCAATTTACAACGTGTATTTGTCTAAAACTCGAGTAATAGCTCTGTGTCTCACTCAGGACTGAGTCCACACAACAGCCTCCAAGGCGCACGTGAGCTGCCACACACCTGCCTTGCTGCCTCACTTCCTGCCCTTCCGCCTTGTACCTTGCCCAGAATGCTGGCCCTTGGACGCAGCAGGCAGGATCCTGCCTCAGGATCTTTGCAGATGCCTTTTCCACCTCTTGGGATGCACTTCCCCCAGAGATTCGCAGGTCCCATGCCTTTACTTCCTTTCCATCTTTGTTCATATGTCACCTTTTCAATAAGGTGGCCTGAGCAACATTCTCTAAAACTATAAGCCTCTGCCTCCTAATTTCTTTCCGTCACACATACAAATACACGCACGCAGGCACACACACAGACACTCATTCACACTTTCCACTCTTTTGCCCGCTTTATTTCTCGTAATATTTCTATCATCTAATACTCCCAGTATTTAGTTTACTTCTACTTTAACATCTCTCCCATCAGGATGCAGCTCCCTGAAGGCAGAGATGTTCGTCTGTTTTGACTACTGTGTCTCCAACCAGTAGGATAGTGTGAGGTACACAGTACGTCCTCAGTAAATACTTGCTGAAGGAATCACAAAGAATGAATACAGACTGATTTCAGAAAGGCTGAACCTAGATACAGATTTGGGACTCACCTGAACATTTAAGTAGGTGGCACTAGCGGTAAGAACCCACCTGACAATGCAGGAGACAAAAGTGACGTGGGTTCGATCCCTGGGTTGGAAAGATCCTCTGGAGTAGGAAATGGTAACCCACCCCAGTATTCTTGACTACAGGATCCCATAGACAGAAGAGCCTGGCGGGCTACTGTCCGTAGGGCCGCAAAGAGTCAGACACACCTGAAGCACAGCATTCCACAACATTTAAGTAGAAGAAAACCACATAATCAAGAAGCATGAAGCAAAGAGTTAGACAGTTGCTCTGCAGCAGCTCTGCTCAGAGGCAAATGACCTAGCCCACAGTGACTTCAGAGCTTCTTGCGCGTCATCTTCTCCCCCAGGTCTGGTCTCTCTGCTCTAGACTCTAGCCCAGTACCCTGATTAAACTCTTCCCAAATTCCTTATGTTCAGGAAAGCTGACCCCACAGCTGTCTCCCTTCTCTCACAGAGCAAGAATCACATCTTGTTAGATGTTTATGTGGACCCCAGCAATTTCACCCAAGGCCAGCTGTTCTTCATGGGCTGGAACACGCTGCAGCACTGAAGAACAGGCTGCGGGCAGAGCCCTGCCTCTGTTTGAATCCCCATACACCCCTTACAGGTGTGAACTGCAATCAAGTGGGGTGTCAAGTTATATGCCCCTTGGGCTGACATGACCTGACATGAAGCACGTACTCAATAAAGTACAATGAGTTCCTGTTTTTATTAGCCATATTTGTATCCTCAGAGCCAGGAACAGTATCCAGTTTGTGGGAGGTGCTCTGGAAAGAGAAGGAATATGGTTTCCTATTTGTCTGCCACATTACAATGCAAACGGCCAGGACCGATTCCTCTCTAGGGAGCAGAGAGCTGACTGAGAGCTCTCACTCTTAGCTTCATGCACGACATGAGTCTATTCCAGCTGGAGAGTGTAAAAAA